TACATACAAAGGGGCAGAGCCTTAGGTATTTGCCAGGGTGGGGTAACCCTCTTTGCTGCGTTGTGACACTGTCTATGGGAGAGGGGTCCAAGAGGGAACAATGATGCTTGCTCAGCTTCACCCCATTTTCTGTCACTTCCATAGCTTCCCACAGATTGTGACCTTGCAGGTGCTGATTCCCAGGTGTGTAAGTTTGTGTACTTTCTAGGACTCTATGAGCCTCCCCAACACACTCTCCTGTGAGGCTGGGAGTTCCTTCCACCTTCACAAACCCCACAAGATTTACAGCCATAGGTTTTCAGTCTTTAGTTTCCCATGCTGAAACCATGGGTTTCACGGGCTGTCTCACTCCCCAGTTGTTCCTCCTGGCTTATCTGTGCACAAATATGGAACTACCTGCTCTGCCAGCCCCCAACCTTTCCCCAAGGTCGGCTGCTTTTCTGGGCATCCTCTGCACCTGGCTGCCAGTCTCTGACCTTCCTACCAGTCTGGATGAATGTTTCTTTAACTCCTTGGTGTCAGAATTCCATGCAGTTTAATTTTCTGGCAGTTCTGGTTGTTTTTTGTTTTTAAATTGTCTGTTATCTTTCTTTTGATTGTGTGAGGAAACAAAGCATTTCTGCCTACACTTCCACCTTGGCCAGAACTCCTCTCACTGTTGATCGTTTGCTTATGTTCTCTGTATCCATGGCTGAAAAAAATGACTTCTAGTCAGCAGTTCTACAAGCATTGGTTGTAGTGCAAGGATGTGGGATTTCTTTGGAAGGTCCTGCTGATCCTTTTCACTGCACAGTTCCCTGACCTAGAACACTTGACTCCTGGTCACTCTCCTCTATCATACCCCTTCTCCAGTACTAGCAGCACCACTAGGCTCTTGCTACAGAGGAATCTTCCCCCAACAACCACATTGGATGTGACAACTGTGAGAGTCTAAAGCCACCTCTCTACCAAGATAAATAATGTCTCTCCCCTTGAAAATTCACATATTCTTCTCATGTAAAGCAGTAGATAAGCAGGTTCCTACATTTCCACTTGCCTTCTCTGCCCTGTCAGCTCTTCCAGCTGTTCTTACCCTGCTCAGACAGGCACAGAGGAAAGGTCAGTAAATCTACCGCTGAAGCAGAAGCCCAGCAAAGAAATGAGATCTGTTGTTTCTACTTGCAGGTGCCCCCTGATTGTGTGTTTCTTCTGGGATCCCATTTATTTGGATTCTACAAAAGGAAAGCAATGTTTCCTTCTCCATCAAAAGAGAATTAAATGAGTTCTCATCAGTAACATAGAGTCCCAATTAAACCAATGAAATTAACACTCTTCCCCCTTTGTTACATCTCAAACATTTTATATAGCCAGGGAATTGGTAATAACTATAGGTAGCATAACAGATTCTACTCTCCTTCAAAAGGGTGTCTGATGTCATTATTGGTAGGTATTATCAAATGTAGATGATTTATGTTGTCAGAATATAAATTGGTTCAGCTACTATGGAAAGTAATATGGAGGTTCCTCAAAAACTTAAAAATAAAACTATTCTCTGACCCAGTTATCTCACATCTGGGTTTATTCCCAAAGGTAATAAATACAGGGTATCAAAGATATATATGGGCTCCCACATTTTTTGCAGCATTATTCACAACAGCCAAGATATGGAAATAACCTAAGTGCCCATAAACAGAAGAATGGGCAAAGCAGATGTGGTACACGACTAATAATGTGATAGACAACGGAATATTATTTAGCCCTGAGAAAGAAGGGCATCCTGCCAGTCACGACATGATGAAACTTGACCATGTTAAGCTGAGATAAGTCAGCAAAAGACAAATAATGTATGGTATGACTTATATGTAGAATCTAAAAAAGACAAATGCATAAAAACAGAGAGTAACTGGTGGTTACCAGCAGATGGGGTGTGGAAAAATAGGACAGATGTTGTTTAAAGGTGAAAACTTGCAACAAAGAGTAAATAAGTCCAAGAGTTCTAATGCACAGTTCAGTGAATACAGACAACAAAATTCTATTATAGTTATAAAACCTACAAAGAGACTAGAACTTCACTCTTCTAACTGTGGATGGAAAAGGGGCCCACATACTAAACCTGACAAGCTCAAAGAAGGCCTGCATTGTGAGCCTTACCAACTCAGAGAACAAAAATAATCACCTGCGATAATCTGAACACAAAAATTTCTAACTAAAAAAACAAATGAACAGGTCACAGCAGGTGGTCACATCCTAGGCCTGCAGCTTCCTTTCTAAAGGTCAGTCTTTGCCTCTAGTGAGCCTGTCTATTGTCTTTTTGAATCTAAAACAACACAATTCTGGAATGTCAGAGTAATTTCTTCTCTAGGCCCCTCAGGATACCACCACAGGCACCACAGCAGGAGACCACAGAGCCCCTCATTGTTATCCTGTTCCCACAAACCAGCTCTAGTGCTCTGGGTCCTGTATTATTAATATTATTATCTATTCTGTACCCACAATGTGAAAGTGTGTGGCTCTCCATTTTGCTTCTTATTCAGTCTCTGCCTTGCTTTCTCCTGCCCCCTGAATCTACCATCCTTATGTCACTTCCTTTTATTTTAACATATAAAATAAGCTGCAAAGCTGTCATTCTCCAGAACATTTTTCTCAGTTTGTTGAGATTTTGCTTCCTGGTAATTGTTATCAGTGTGGCTCAGTAAACTCAAAAAATTCTCTATTAGTTTGGATGTTTCTTCCATGGACATAACCACTACAAACTGCTAATTATTTAACATGTTGGAGGTACTGATTATCACTACAGTGGCAATCGTATTGCAATATATACATCTTGGATCTGCACAGTTGTAGTCTATGAAAAGAGAACAAATCAACAGCAAAACCTTTGGAATAATCAGAGTGGTACTCCAGTTGTCTTTAATGCTATGACTCCCTGCCTGTTGATGTTGCAGGCAGAGTCTTAGGGAATTTACATGGATAATCGAATGACAATGTGGTATCAAGAAAACACATACCACTTACATATACTTTCTACTTCTGTATATGTTTAACCCTATCTACAATAAAAAATTTCTACGACAATTAAAATTTTGTTTTAAACTTTCTAATCTATTTGGATTTTATTTAAATTACAGTAAATGAAAGAATTAATATTTGGATGACATGATATATTTTTATCTTTTATCATTAAAATATCCTTAATAACCTTTTAATTTAAAAAATATCTTCAATATCTTTTTTATTTTTTGTCTTTCATCATTATCATATTTTTATAATCACAAATATACATTTAAAACATAAGAAAATGGAATGGAAGAGAAGAACACAGGCAGGGAGGAAGAGAAAGGGAGGGAGGCAGGCTGTGAGAGAGGGAGGGAATTTTAACATGCCAGGAAAACCTTGGAACATTCTATTTTTATCTTTAGAAATTATTGGCCACCTAGAGTCCCTCTTATATGATGCAACCCACTGAAATAAGACTGACACAGGAGGGAAGAGTTGGCCCTGGAGAGCCCATTCAGATTCAGAGCAGGCCCTCTGTCTAAGGGCCTCTCCAGGGACCTCTCTCACTCTCTAGGTCTAGTTGGAATCAAATCCCTCTGGCCATTGTTACTTGGACAGCAGAGTCAAAAAGACTTCCCTTTGGACAGAAAGACTACAGGGATATTTTCCTGCTCAGAAGTTCCATCCCTGTGTCTCCTAAAGGAAGGACAAGGTCAGGGAAGCCACAGCTCTAACCACATCTTTGGCTTTTGCTCTGGTGTTGGAACAGATTCCATTCAGGATACCATTCCACTGAGAGCATCTCCTGTTGGCCTAGGGAGCCCAGGTGAAGAGAAATCTCCTTGTTAAAACCGATCTTCTTCAAAAACTGCCCACTCTGGGAACCTGTGAATATACGACCATGAATAGAAATTAGATCCTCATTTACCACCCAGGAGGGAGGGCTGACCAGCCTGCCTTCCTCTGACCTAGACTAAACCCTGTAACTGTCCAGTTTACCAGGTGTTCTTGGTATTCTTTAGTCTTTATCCTTTTTTTTTTTTTTTTTTGGCTTTTACAATTGCTGCAATGTGGAGAAGATGGTCCAAGTCTGACTTGGTTTTACATGAATCTCCTGGCACCAACTCAGGGAATAAGCAGTCTTCTGGGACTGTCATGTTAAGGCCTGAGATTACAGGGAAAATACTGGACATCACAGATTCACAGCAACCCTGAAATGGGAAGGCCCTGGAGTAACTGGGTGTGCACAGCCCTTACTTCCACTTTGAAGACCTCTTCCTGCCCACCTTCATGAGACCAGCAAGCACCCCTGTGTGCCACTTCTGCCTGAGCTGGCACAGAAGAGGAGAAGTTCTCTACATAGTACCACAAATGGCCAAGGAAGATCTTTCCACAATCTTTAGGATTTCTACGTTAAAATGGACTTTAAAAATTGTATGGTTCTCCCAGATCATTTTCTCTTAATGAACTAATTTTACTGTTGTTGTTATTATTGTTTTAACTCACAAATTTACAGTGGCAGAGAAAGGTCCTGTACCATCATCGGGTGTCACAATACCCCTATCAATCATTCAAATAATCATCATGGTCTGGCAGCCAGATGGTCAGCCAAAACACTTACTGCTACTCACCATGCCAGTCAGCCCTCCTGTGGTTTGATCTCAGTTCCTTCTGGAACCAGAGAAGCTGGAGAAAAGCACTTCTCAGTGCTCTGGCATCTGTTACTAACCTCCATTCGTTCCTTCTCCAGTCTGGATAATGTCTGCTTTCTTCTCTTTCCTTCCTAGGTCTGATTATCTGCACTCTTCCTTCCCACCTCTCCACCTTGGCCAACAGGTCACTGCCTTAAGCTGGGAAGGGCTGATGCGGTCTGACATGGCAGGGCTGCCTTGGCTGCATGATCTGTCCTGGGTCGGCCATGAAGCTTTACTCACAAAGCCTCATCTCCAGGCATGTTCTGACACTGAACCATAGTGAGCATTCTTTTCTATTCGTGTCCCTCTAAAGGAAAACTTGACTGCTCCATGGAAATTGGCAACATAACCACAGTCACTGCATTTGTTCTCCTGGGACTATCCAACAACCCTCAGACCCAGGCAATACTCTTTGTACTCTTCCTGGTGATTTACCTCCTGACCCTCATGGAAAACCTGCTGATGCTGCTGGTGATCAGAGCTGATTCCCATCTCCACACCCCCATGTACTTCTTCCTGAGTCACCTCTCCTTCCTGGATGCTTTCTATTCCTCAATCATTGTGCCTAAGCTGCTAGAGAACCTTCTTTCCAAGTGGAAGACTATAGCCCTTCTTCAGTGTTTCGCCCAGATTTCCTTGGTCATAGTTTCTGGAGCCACTGAAGCATGCCTCCTTTCCGTAATGGCCTATGACCGGTTCCAGGCTGTGTGCCACCCACTGTCGTACATGGTGGCTATGAACAGGAAAGTGTGCATTGGCCTGGTGGGAGCATCCTGGGCCATAGGAATGGCGACTGGCCTAGTAAACACCCTTCTTCTGGCTCAACAGCACTTCTGTGGCCCCAATCTCATCAAAAGTTTTGTCTGTGAGCTTCCACAAGTGCTCCTCTTGGCCTGTTCTGACCCTTACATTAGCAATGTCACCATCCTGACAACCATGGTGGTCCTGGGCTTTGGCACCCTTGTCCCATTACTGGGTTCCTACACCCGCATCATCATGGCAGCCCTGGGCATCAACTCTACCTCAGGTCGAAGCAAGATCTTCTTCACTTGCTCTTCTCATGTTCTTGTGGTCATCATCTTTTATGGTTCAGGAATGTTCAGGTATGTTATACCATACCTTCTGAAAGTAAACAGGATATTCTGTGCTCGCTTTGAAGGCACATAAACTAAAATTGGAACGATACAGAGAAGATCAGAATGGCCCCTTAGGGTAAGAATATTTCTTACTCTAAGTGGCCTTGATCTGTAGAACAGAATGTTGCAAAGTAGCAGGATAATACTTGAGATGGAATTCAGGAAGCTAGGTTCTAGTTTTTTGTTTGTTTGTTTGTTTTTCTATTCTATTTTATTTTTTTATTGATTATGCTGTTACGGTTGTTCTATTCCCCCCTCCATTCCCCTCCACCCTGCACACCCCTCTCCCACCATCCCCCCCCCTTTAGTTCATGAACACATGTCTCAAGTTCTTTAGATTCTATATTTCCCATACTATTCTTACCCTCCCCCTATCTATTTTATATCTACTGTCTATACTACTTATTTTCTGTACCTTCTCCCCCCTTCTCCTTCTCCCACTCCTCTGTTGCTAATCCTCCACATGATCTTCATTTCTATGGTTCACTCCTGATCTAGCTGTCCTCTTAATTTGCTTTTGTTTTAGGTGTGGTTGTTGATAACTGTGAGTTTGCTGTCCTTTCACTGTTCATCTTTCTTATCTTCTTTTTCTTAGGTAAGTCCCTATAACATTTCATATAATAAGGGCTTAGTGATGATGAACTCCTTGAATTCGGTCTTATCTGAGAAGCACTTTATCTGCCCTTCCATTCTAAATGAAAGCTTTGCTGGATAGAGCAATCTTGGTTGTAGATCTTTGGTTTTCATGACTTGGAATACCTCTTTCCAGCCCCTTCTTGCCTGTAAGGTCTCTTTTGAGAAATCTGCTGACAGTCTGATGGGAATTCCTTTGTAGGTGACAGTCCCTTTATCTCTTGCTGCTTCTAGGATTCTCTCCTTCATTTTAATCTTGGCTAATGTAATGATGATGTGCCTTGGTGTGTTCCTTCTTGGGTCCACCTTCTTCGGTACTCTCTGAGCTTCCTGGATTTCCTGGAAGTCTATTTCCTTTGCCAGAATGGGGAAGTTCTCTTTTATTATTTGTTCAAATAAGTTTTCCACTGGTGGCTGTTCCTCTTTCCCTTCTGGTACCCCTATAATTCGGATGTTGGAACGTTTAAAGATGTCCTGGAGGTTCCTAAGGCTCTCCTCATTTTTTTGAATTCTTGTTTCTTCATTGTTTTCTGTTTGGTCATTTTTTCCTTCCTTTTGCTCTACTCCCTTGATTTGTGTCCCAATTTCCTTTCCATTACTATTGGTTTCCTGTACATTACCATTCATTTCAATTAGTTTAGCCTTCTTATGTTCCTCTAATTTGTGGCTAAAAATCAACCAGTTCTGTGAGCATCCTGATCACCAGTGTTTTGAACTACACCTCTGATAGGTTGGCAATTTCTTGTTCACTTAGATTTATGGGCTCTGGGGCTCTGAGTTGTTCTTGAGCCATGTTTTTATCTGTTTGTGCCTGTTACGTATGAGGATCGGAGCCTTAGTTGTTCACCAGGGCGGGGCCACCCAGGTCGCTGGTTTGTGACTCTATATGTGGGGGTGGGGTTAGAGAGGAAGCAATGGCGGTCCTCTCCACTCTCCCAGTTCGTCCCACCTGTTTATGTGAGCGGAAATGTGCCAGCCCGCCACCCTGCACTGTGCGGTCTCAATGCTCACCTCTTCACTGGTTTATTTGCACGCAAATGCTCGACCAACTGCAGACAGCCAGCTGCGCCTCTTCCCTGTGTCTGTCTGTAGCTAGCCCGCACCTGGGACCCACGCCTTCGGCTGCCTGCGTACCACCTCAGTCGGGGGTCTTTTTGGGCAACCCGCTCCGTAGCTGGCTTCGCCCCTCTTATCGGTTTAGCTGAGCATTTTGTTGTTTTCGGACTCCATATTGTCGATTTTCTGTGTGGTTTGGTTATGTTTATTGTTGTTAAAACTTTATTGTTTTTAGATTTGGTTATGCGGGGACACAAGGTGTTTCCACCTACGCCTCCATCTTGGCGAAAGTCCCCTAGGTTCTAGTTTTGACTCTGCTATAGACTAACTGTGAATTACAAAAATCCATTTTCTTTTTCAGACCTCTGTGAGCAGCTCTATAAAATGAGTTTATACAAGAACTAAAAATGTTCCTACTTTCATTAACCTATAATTTGGGAGTTCTCATAAAGGAAATCAAGAAACCTTGCTTAAAGTTTAGTAGATTTTTATTCAGTGCAAGACAAAAAAAATAAAACATATCCTTGAAATAGATGATATCGTCCCTGTGGGAAGATGAAGTCTCCTAACCTATTTGTGCTATAACTATTAGGTACCTGCAAGACTCCAGCTGCTTTACATGATCAATCTTAGCATGTATTATTCTACAAGAGAAATATTAACCCCACTTTCAGGTGAGGAACCTGAGTTTCAGGAATAACAGGTAATTTCTTGTAGGTCCCAGAACAAGCTAGTAATGGAGCCATAATTTAAAACAAGTGTCGTTGACTGCAAACCTCATGCCCTTCTCTACCACGCTTCTCTCAAACATAAACAGCTACAGCTGATGAGTCCTTGCTTACTAGGAGACTTAATGATTATGGTCTGTGCTCTCTAAAGTAAAATGGAGGTGGATTTGCACAATTGTTCCATATTTTTCTCACCTGCTTGTGACTTGGAGCGAAGCCAGGGGTGGAAAAGCGTGGTAAAGAGTAGTCTAGGAGAGCTCATCTGAGCCTGTGAACAAATGTCCTCATCTTTCTGTCTCAGTTTCCTCATATGCCATTGGGGACAATAAGATTTCTCCTACCTACCTCACAGAAATATTGGGAGAAATAAATTAAATGATGAAAAATCACTATAAAATGAATATCTTTTTTTCAACCAAGCACACCAGAACCCACAAAGAACATTTCAATGATGATGGTACCATTGCTTAAGAAAAAAAAGTAATGCTTTTTTGGGAAGTACTGTCAGTGGCATTTAACATGATGCATTCAAAATTTAGCCTTATTATTTTATTTTTGTTTTTATTGTTCAGGTACAGTTGTCTGCATTTTCCCACTATCTTATTATTTTGGACTCATAGACTGTGCTTAACACATTGTTATATTTCACATTATTTACCAAGCATGGCTTCTTTTCTAAGCCAGAGAAAAAAATGCCCCTAAAAATAAATGTTTGTTCCACTAAGCATTATAAAAAAATGTTCTATGATTTTGAGGGTAGCTCCCAGAGTTTGGAATGTTGGGAACAATGACAGCTTTATTGGAACAAGCATACAATTTTGCAAGGAACAATGATCACAGGTTGAGAATATGTAGTTCTATACATTCAGAAAAGAAAAGAAAAATTCCTCATACTATTGTCACAGCTAATAAAGAAAGATGTTTTGAAGCGTATGAAGTGCTAGGGAAATGCATGGAATTATTATTAGTTCTGCTCGAATCTGCAGCACTTCATCTGCTGCAGACTAAGTTTTCCCCAGGGCAGCTCCTGTAATATTCTGCATAAGATCATTCATGTTTGGAGGCATTTGAAGGCAGAGATGCCTGACTTCTCACTGACCATACAGTCATTTCTACATGCTGCTACCAGTGACAGTCGGCTCAGCCCTGAGGACCCTCTTTGCAGAGTCTCTAGACAGGATGGACAGCGACTGCCAACAGTACTGAGCTCAGTTTATCCATTTGTGCAATTGCCTTCCAGGTACATGACTACAGCATCTGGCTCAGTCCTGGAGCAAGTGCTCTCCGTGCAGTACAGTGTGGTGACCCCTCTGTTAAACCCCCTCATCTATAGTCTGAAGAACCAGGAGGTGAAGGCAGCTCTGAAGAGGGTGCTGGCCAGGAAGCCCAGGCTGACCTTATAACCCAGCCTCCACTGCCTCACCAGGAGAAAAAGTTACAGGTGAGAAGAGCTATCGCCATGCAGCTATCTCAACACTCACTTTTCCAAAACAGAAGCCTTAGTTCTTCTGACCCCAGTCAAGTGAGATGAGGAAGATTCCATACACCAGATGACATCCATCCACTGGGGGCCCAGTCACCACACTGGAAAATCGTTACAGCCTCACTAGCCATTTATACAACAATTGCTCATTTCTTGTCCTTTCTAACTTTCCTCTTTCTGCCTCTCCCTCACTCTTTTACTTTTGTCTATACACAAAGTGTAGTCCAACCTATCTGACCACTAGCAAATATCCTACTGCATTCTGGGAGTGCCCCGTCTTGGTACTGTGAGACCCAATTTCTCCTTTGTTCCCTTCCCAAAATATTCCTGGGAAGATTTACAGCTCCATAATAACTTAGAAAGAAATAAAATAAGTGTGTCTCCTCATGTCTTTGTTTTTGACAAGTGACATAAAGTAAAGCCTAGGAACTTCTTCTTAAAGGTCCTGTGCACAGAATAACCCGGACTCACTCCCTCTGAGCACTAGCACAGGAGCAGCAGATGGAAGAGCACCAAAGGCATACAGGGAGAAACTGAAGTGTTCAGCATCATGATGAGAGCTGTGGAGCAGCTTTCCCCCAGAAAGAAATGCTGGCAGAGGCCGCCATTTCTTTTCTGAAAACTCCCACACTGCCTCCCACCCACCCACAGAGCCACAAAGCAGGCAGGCAGGTACCCTATTTGAGATTCGTCAGCCTGGTTCACACTGTTTACCTTACCCTGGTATATTAATAAGGCTCTGCCCAACCCAACTATCAGGCCCACCCAAGCTGTTTCCATACAAGTGGCTTTTCTTGGCTCATGCTTCATATTTTCCTAAATTCTATCAAATAAACAGCATCTGGCCTCAGCATGCCCTATGCCTATTGCTAAGTGGCCCCAGGCCCAGCATTAACAGCAGCCAGCCTTGGTTCACATCATGGACTCACTTGGACATCTCCAAACCCACCACAAGTAGCAGCCAACTGCAGATCACTTTGTAGCTTATGCCAGGTGGCCCCAGTAAGAACACTGGGTGGCTGACCTGTGGCTGCACCTCTCAGGAGACCCCAGAGCCTGCACACCCAGAGGACAGCTACAGACCAGAGTGAAGTGTCACCACAGAACCACCTCCATAAGCAACACACTCAAGGGGCAGATTCAGTGGGCACACTCAAGGGGCAGGCTCAACTCCATGCTGAATTAAGTCCTGTTCTGTGGAGTGGATTCCTGTACAGCTGATCCTCCACAATGGTCAGAGGCTGGTGTCAGTGGTCACAGCCAATCCTTGTAGCTGACTGACCTGGGTAAATCCCTCCATTGACCTGCCAATATCAATTAAGGCTTAACTATAAGAGTAAGGTATACTCAGGCTACACAGTGAGTAAACCTTCACCCACTGGACCCTATGGGGTGATAGGATAGGCTGTACCACTGGACCCTATAGGACATTTACTACATTAGGCTATTCTATCAAGCCAAGGTGTCATAGCAGCTCTACATAATACATAAAAACAAACACAGGGAGGTGGCCAGAATCAGGAAACACAGAAACCTGGCCCAGATGAAAGAACACATCAATATCCAGAAAAAGAACTAAACAAAATGGAGACAAGTAATCTACTAGAGGCAAGGTTCAAAACACTGGTTATAAGGATGCTCAATGAACATAGGGGAAGAGTAGGTGAAATTAGAACTTCAACAGCATAAAACAGAGCATTCAAACCATAAAAAAGCACCAGGCAGAAATGCAGGATACACTAACTGAAAGAAAGGACAATTTATAGGGAATCAAGAGAAGAGTACATAAAGTTGAGAACCAAATCAGTGATTTAGAATATAAGGAGGCAAAAAACACCCAATTAGAACAACAACAAGAAGAAAATGAGGATAGTGTAAGGAGCCTCTGGGACAACTTCAAGTATACCAACATTTGCATCATGAGAGTACCCAAAGGAGAAGAGAGAGAGCAAGAAACTAGAAACCCATTTGAAAAAAATAATGATGGAAAACTACCCTAACTTAGTGAAGGAAATAGACATATAAGTCCAGGTCTCTCAGAGAGTCTTAAACAAGATGAACCCAAAGAGGCCCACACCAAGACACAGCATAATGAAAACACCAAAGGTAAAAGACAAAGAGAGAATCTTAAAAGCAGCAAGCGAAAACACCATGACTTACCCATAAAACTATCAGCTGATTTCTCAGGAGAAACTTGGTGGGCTAGAAGGGACTGGCAAGAAATATTCAAGGTGATGAAAGGCAAGGACCTACAGCCAAGATGACTCTACCCAGCAAAGCTGTCATTAGAGTCAAAGGACAGATCAAAAAGCTCCCCAGACAAGAAAAAATTAGGACTTCCGCCAAGATGGAGGTTTAGGTGGATATGCCGTGCCTCCTCACACAACCAAGTTTAGGGACAACTAAATATTAGCACCAGAAAACACAACCAGAACACGGAAAACTGAACTTTTCGGAAGCCCGCTAACAACAAATTCTTCAGCCCGACCGGTAAGGGGCGAAACCGGCGTCTCGTGAGGAGTTACAAAGGAGGGCTCAGTCGGACCGGGCGCGGAATCCAGACGCGCGAATCCAGACGCACGGGTTCCAAACCCAGGATTGGACCTAGTGAGCGACCGAGCAACCCACCGGGTGAGCGACTGCAGAGGAGACAGTGGGGAGGCGGTGCAGCGTGTTGACTGCGGTTGCCTAATTGCGCGCGAGCGAGGGAGTGGGCGGTTGGACCGGCCGCTGCGGCGATAGACGGCAGCCAAGGCGATAGAGGGCGCCGCCATTTCCCCGCTCTGACCACGCCCCCACATACAGCGTCACAACCCAGCGACCTGGGACTCCAAGGCGCCGCTTCTCCCACTTAAAGGGCCAGAACAGACCAAAAATGTCGCAGGAAGACCTCAAAGCCCCACAGATAAATCTAAGCGACGAAGAAATAGCAAAACTCTCAGACGCACAGTTTAAAACACTGGTCATCAGCTTCCTCACAGATCTGGTTGATTATAGCCACAAATTAAAGAAACATATGAAGGCTAAATTAAGGGAAATGAATGGAATTCCACAGGAAACCCATAGAGATGAAAAGGAAACTGGGACTCAAATCAATGGAGTGGACCAGAAGAAACCAAATAATGGCCAAACAGAAAAGAGTCAAGGAGCAAGAATTCAAAGAAATGAGGAGAGTCTTAGGAACCTCCAGGACATCTTTAAACGCTCCAATATCCGAATTATAGGGGTACCAGAAAGGGGGAAAGACACAACCACCAGTGGAAAAACTATTTGAACAAATAATAAAAGAAAATTTCCCCAATCTGGCAAAGGAAATAGACTTCCAAGAAATCCAAGAAGCTCAGAGAGTACCAAAAAAGTTGGACTCAAGAAGAAACACAGCAAGGCATATCATAATTACATTAGCCAAAATTAAAATGAAGGAGAGAATCCTAGAAGCAGCAAGAGCTAAGGGGACAATCACCTACAAAGGAGTCCCCATCAGACTGTCAGCAGATTTCTCAAAAGAGACCTTACAGGCAAGAAGGGGCTGGAAAGAAATATTCCAAGTCATGAAATCTAAAGACCTACAACCAAGATTGCTCTATCCAGCAAAACTTTCATTTAGAACGGAAGGACAGATAAGGTGCTTCTCAGATAAGACCAAATTCAAGGAGTTCATCATCACCAAGCCCTTATTATATGAAATGTTAAAGGGACTTATCGAAGAAAAAGAAGTTAAAGAAACATGAACAGTGAAAGGACAACAAACTCACAGTTATTAACAACCACACCTAAAACAAAAGCAAACTAAAAGGACAGCTAGATCAGGAGCGGAAACATAGAAATGAAGATCTCAAGGAGGGTTAGCAACAGGGGAGTGGGAGGAGGAGATGGGGGGAGAAGGTACAGAAAACAAGTAGCATAGACAGTAGATAGAAAATAGATGGGGGGGGGGCAAGAATAGTATGGGAAATATAGAACCTAAAGGACTTGAGACACATGGACATAAACTAAAGGGGGGTAATGGTGAGGTTGGGGGGCAGGGTGGAGGGGAATGAAGGGGGGAATAGAACAACTGTAACAGCATAATCAATTTAAAAAAATAAATTAATTTAAAAAAAAGAAAAAATTAAAAACATTATCATCACCAAGCCAGTATTATATGAAATGTTAAAGGGCCTCCTTTAAGATGAAAATATGAGCAATAAAATGGCAATACATACATATCTATCAATAATTGAATCTAAAAAACAAAATAAATGAACAAGCAGAACGGAAACAGAATTACAGATACAGAGAGTGTTTTGATAGTTGCCAGATGGGAGGGGCATCAGGGTGATGGGAGAAAAAGGTAAAGGGATTAAGAAGTGGAAATTGGGACTGCTGGTCAATGGAGGCATAGGTAGTTACAGTTTGCCTCCTCACACAACCAATAGGAGGACAACAATAAATTTAAAAACAATAGATGACCAGAACTGCCAGAAAATCAAACTGTATGAAAGTCTGACAGCTAAAGAGTTAAAGAAGAAGTATTCATCCAGACCTGTAGGAGGGGTGGAGATGGGCATCCAGGGTGGAGAGGACTGTCGGCAAGGCAGCAGCTGGCAGACCAGGCATTGCAGTGGTTGGTGAAGTGGGTAGTCCCACATTTGCATGCAGAGAAACTGGTAGAAACAACTGGGGAGTGAGACAAACCACGTGACCTAGGGTTCCAGCATGGGAAATAAAGTCTCAAAGCCTCTCACTAAAAAAATCTGTGGGAGGTTGAGGTGGTGAGAGAAACTCCCAGCCTTACAGGACAGTTCATTGCAGAGAACCACAGGACCCTAGAACATACACAAAACCACCCACCCTGGAATCAGCACCAGAAGAGCCCGATGTGCTCATGGGTACTGGAGGAAGTGATTGAAAGCTGGTGGAGAGCTGAGCGAGTGGCATTGTTCGCTCTTGGACCCCTCCCCCACATACACCACTACAGCCAAGCAACCTGTGTGCCCCACCCTGGCAAATACTTAAGGCTCTGCCTCTTACTATGTAACAGGCATGCCAAGACAAAAAAAATATATGGCCCAGAAGAAAGAACAGATCAAAGCTCCAGAAAAATACAGCTAAGCATGGAACAGATAGTCAACTTATCAGATTCATATTTCAAAACACTGGTAATCAGAATGCTCACAAAAATGATTCAGTATGCTCTCAAAATAGAGAAAAAAGTGAAGGCTGTGAAAAGTGAAATAAAGGAAAATGTACAGGGAACCAACAGCAAAGGGAAGGAAACCAGGACTCAAATCAATGGTTTGGAGCAAAGGGAAGAAATAAACATTCAACTGGAACAGAATGAAGAAATAAGAATTCAAAAAAATGAGGAGAGGCTGAGGAACGTCCCAGACAACTTTAAATGTTCCAACACCCAAATCATAGGGGTGCCAGAAGGAGAAGAGAAAGAGCAAGAAATTGAAACTTACTTGAAAAAATAAGGAAGGAGAACTTCCCCAGTCTGGCAAAGTAAATAGATTTGTAAGAAGTCCAAGAAGCTCAGAGAGTCCCAAAGAAGTTGGACCCAAGGAAGCACACATCAAGGCACATCATAATTGCATTACCCAAGATGAAAGAGAAGGAGAGAATCTTAAAAGCAACAAGAGAAAAGGAGACAGTTACCTACAAAGGAGTTCCCATAAGACCATCAGCTGATTTTTCAAAAGAAACCTTGCAGGCAAGCAGGGGCTAGAAAGAAGTATTTGAAGTCATGAAAAGCAAGGACCTACATCCAAGGTTCCTCTATCCAGCAAAGCTATCATTTAGAATGGAAGGAGAGATAAAGTCCTTCTCAGATAAGGTCAAGTTAAAGGAGTTCCTCATCACCAAGCCCTTATTATATGAAATGTTAAAGGAACTTATCTAAGGAAAAGAAGACCAAAACTATGAATGGTAAAATAACAACAAACTCACAACTATGAACAATTGAACCTAAAAAAAAAAAAAACAAAAACAAAATCAAATTAAGCAAACGACTAGAACAGGAACAGAATCACAGAAATGGAAATCACATAGAAGGTTATCATGGGGAAGTGAAGGGAGAGAATGGGGAAAAAGGTACATGGAATTAAAAAAACATGAAGGGTAGGTACAAAATAGACAGGGGACATTAAGAATAGTATGTGAAATGGAAAAGCCAAAGAACTTATATGTATGATCCATGGACATGAACTAAGGTGGGGAAATATGGTTGGAAGGGGGTACAGGGCAGAGAGGAATAAAAGGGAGAAAAGAATGGGACAACTATAATAGCATAATCAATAAAATAGATTTTTAAAAAAGAATTACAAATGGGTTGTTACAGAAATAATCATGGGGGTGCAAAGTACAGCATAGGGAATATAGTAGCAAAGAATATATATGCATGGCCCATGGATATGGGCAACTGTGTGGTGATTGCCTGAATTAGTGAGGGGATCTGGTTGGAGAGGGTCAAAGAAGGAAAAATTGGGACAATTGTAGCAGCATAAACAGTAAAATATAATTTAAGTAATAATAGGTGTAAAAAGTAAATTAAAAAATAATAAAGTAAAGCCTAGTATATGACAAATCCTCAATAACTATTTGTTAACAAAGTAAGGAATGAATGATGAGTCTGCCTGAAGAGTCCTTTCTCTTAGATGATCCTAGAAAATGGGACATGTTTAGAAATATCCTTTCCTAACATGTAACTCTTGAGAGCAAAGCCCCTATCTAATAGCTTTTGTATCCTCAGTATCTAGAATAGTCCTGTCACTGAATAGGTTTTTAATTAGTGTTAGATAAGTGAAAAGAATGAATGAATGAGAGAGAAAGGAGAGTGAGAGAAAAAGCTTATTAAAAGGAACATTTTTAATTTAATCCAGTTAAATTCCTGCATTCACAACAATATAAATGTCAGAGGAAAGAGGCAGGGAAGAAAAACTGGGATAGAAAGAGAGAAATAGAATCCATGTTTTGGGACACTGTCCAGAGTCCTCACACAGAGCTCTGTAGACAGTGCACACTGTGATGGCCCCTGCCCTGAGCCTCCCCACAGCTCCCTGCCTGGTTCAAGACATTGCAGGCTCATAGGAATGAGGAGTTGGAGACAGCAGAACAAATGCTCAGCCACCATCACACCTTCCATTCAGCTGCCAAGAAACTTAGGAAGAAAACAATAGCAGCTAGTCTCACAGATAGTGAGCAGGATGACAGCTATGGCTGGGGGGCAGTTAGTGGGTAGAAGGATGAAGCAAAAAAGAAAAAGGACTCAGGGACATGGACAACAGTGTTATGACTGTCAGGGGAACCAGGTAATAGTAATGGAAAAAAGACAATAAAATATTAAAATAAAATAAACAATAGCCGTTTCCTTCTGTTTCTACCCAAAGGCCAAGACCTCCACGTCAGTCAAAATTCCCTACTTGCCAGCTCTCTGGCTTATCTCTGTCCTTGATCATCCAATCCTCAGGCTATAGTCCTCTGCACAAGTTTATTTTCAGTTTCTTTCCGCAAAGGCCTCTGATGATTATGGCCTGATAAACGGTATACCCACAGGTGAAATTTTCTGATCCTCTCTATAGGATGAAGGCCTGGGCTATCAGGCTGAGCCCCACACAGCCTCAACTTTAGTTGCATTTCTGCTCTGGCCTCTTAATATAGCTGATCCTTTTTATTTTCCAGAGGATATGGCTCCCTGAGGGTATAACCAAGACAGGATTATAAATTAAGAAGTGATGTGTGAGCTCAATGGGGGGAATGGACATCCAATCCTGACCATATACCCATACACAGGGGTTACTCCTAAAAACGGTGAAGACTTGGGGGAAAGATTTTTGTCCCGTTATTAAGAGGAGAATATATGCAATACCCCTGGGAGATGTATCATATTACATTTAAATTCACACTAAAATCATATCATGAATACAAGTTATTTCCTGAGGAATGGTCTCTCTACCCTTTGACTGGCCCTGTAGGTCCCTATACAGGCCGGGGGTCTCATTTGGGAGCTGCTAGACTCTGAGATCAGAGGAATAGTGCCAGATTGCCTAAAGCCCCAGTAGGTGTACTGGGGTTGGAGCAGTATAATTAACTATACTAGATATTTTAGGAAAGCAGGAAGAAGACAGAAATTAGAAGATTACTCAGCTAATTTAGAAATGTGGTAAATTAAATTAAAGTGTTTGAGTACTGGATTCTCAAAGCAGGAAGAGATCTCCAAAAAACCATCTAGACTAAAACATTCATTTGAAGAAAAGGAAATTGAGGTACAGAAAATGGAGATGACCTGCCCAGATTTGACCCATCAATTAGTAGCAGAAACCAACATTAAGAATTGACCCAGAGAGATGTGATCAGATCACTGGGGAGAGGTAGTGAGGGGCCGTAGGTGGGGGCAATGATAAACTGTCTAGGATGGGATTGTTTGAGAAGCTGAATGCCTCCAGAGTGCGTAAAATTATGGGCTAGAAGATTTGAAATAAAAGAAGGGCTCTCGGTCTCCTGGATGGGCTACCTCTGGGGCTCTCTCTCAGGCTTTATTTCTCAAGGAGGCCTGTATGATCATGCTGCAACTGCCTGCATTTCCCAACAGATGGCTTTTGGAATGGATTTTGGATGGGAATAAAGTCTGCATGCAGCCTTGGGATGAGCTGGTCTGACAGAGGATAGCAGGGTTATTTCTTGAGTGCTCTATAGGGGACAACCTCTGAGGCCTGTCATTCTTCCAAAATTGTGTAGCTTTTGTATCTTCTATTGTTTTAGTTTGTAAACTAACCTTATAGAAGTAAGATAATTAAAACTAACAGGGGAAAATGATACAAGACCTCAGGTGTTAGAGTTTAGTCTTAATTGATAGGTTTAAGTGACTAATGCATGTGGAAAGCTGTTATTCCAAAATTGTGAAGACTTTGAATAAGGACTTCTTTCCTTTATCACCAAAACTTTGCCTCTGGAATTTTGCCTAGAGGGTGGCGGCAGGCAGCAGGACGCCAATTGCCGTTCGGTAAGACTCAAATCTCCATATTTTTCTTCTTTCACATTCCTCATAATCATTGGAATAAAGTTCTGTGAAAATCCTCCTTAAAAACAAGTGAAGCATCAAGGAGGAATAACAGAGCAGAGTCCAAACAAAAAGGCCCAGGTGTCCGGATTCTTCAATTACTAAGCTGACTGTAAGGGTCTTCTGTTCTTATCTCTGATCTTATTTCTTATCTCCAGAAAAAGTTCTTCTCACAGCTCTTTGTGAAGAATATTTCCCTATCTCACAGGTAAAGAAACCCCTCAAACCTTCAAGTCAGCCATTTGAGATTCTTGGAGGCCCTATCCTTGCTGTCTTTTCCCATCCCACATCTCCACCTGTCAAAATCCCACCCACCACTCAAAGGCAACTCAAATGCCACTCCTTTCATGAATCCTTCTTTGATCCCTTGTCCCACACATACCCGAATATAAATTGCCCCTCTTCTTGTGGATGCTCAGGGTATGTTTCTAACCTCTCCCATGATGTTTATGATACTATTCCTTGTATGTAATTCTTTACCAATGTTTATCTCCTCTCTCTTACTAGTCATTTTAGCCAATTTTTGATTCCCTCTATAATTCCTTGAATATGCTAGGTGATCCATAAAATTCGTTGAATAAATTGGTGCAGAAAATAAATCCATCTTTTTGTTATAAGTTCAACCTATTTCTTCTTCAGTAGAGATGGAAGGTGGCTATGACCTATGGCTTCAGTGTCTACCCACTCACACTATTTCCTCCCTTTCCCTCCAGAAAGAAAATACATCCAGTTACTCAAAAGCAGACCCTTTATTTAGGACAGAGGTAGAATCCATTGTTGTAGTGAAAATGCCATCAGGGCACTGAGCATGGGACAAAAGTTCAGTGCACCAGTCAGGTGTCCTTGGAGAATAGTCCTCAAGTGTCCAATGGTGTCACTACTACAGGGCCAGGCTTCAAAGGCAAAATAGCTTCAAGAGAGTAGAAAGATGCAGACTGAGGTGTCTTTGGGGAAGAGAAGTTCCAGGAGCATATAAAGGGCCAAAGCAACAATAACAGCCAGTAGGCACTCATAACTCCTCACAGAGCCACTGTTCCAGCTTCTCAGAGCAGAGTGGTTTGTGGGCCAACCTGATAATGAAAAAGAGACAGGGCAAGTTGTCTGACTGGATCTTAGCTCAAATTTTCATTTAGCTTTATCCCCGGGGGGCTGGGGTGGAAGAGTATGGATGAAAATTACAGAAAGATTTCTAGACTGATGAGCCACTAGTGGAGTAGGGTCCATTTTTAAAACTTAAAAAAAAATTGTAGGGCTAGAAAAGGTGTACAGTGGTACTAAGGGTTCACTTTAAGGTCTAGGACTATACAAGTAGAACTAGATGTCTAGTCTAGGTGAAAAGAAGCTGAGTCTCAGCCTTATTAGGACAATTGCCAAACAGGAGTGAAGTGAGGGAGGCTTAAAACTTGGAAAACTGAGTCTGCTGGATGAGTGTTAATTTGGAGACTATATTCTAGATTAAATGACCAGAAGATAAAGAGGAGGGGAGTGATGCTGGATCTAAAGGGATGAGAAGAAGGAAGGCAAGGGAAATGTAGAAAATGGGATGAGAATTCACCAGTAGTCAATTCCTTCACTATCCAGGATCTTCTTGGCACACATCATGTCATCAGTAAGGTCATCATCCAAAAACTCTGGAAGGGAACAAAATGAGAGAGCTAAGTATTACCCAGAAATGTAATCACTTTTCCTCTTTCCAGGATCTAGTAGGTCTGGTCCTTCTCTGAACTGTTGCCTTCCTCTATAAGAAATCCAACACAGTAATACATCCCTCTAGGCGAAGGGCATCTCTGGAGGAATTATCAACTTCATCAACAGACTTACTCTGAAAATGCAGGGTATCAGACTTCAAGACTCCCAGACAGCTCAGATTATCTACCCATGAACTTCAGGGGACTGTTTGGGGATTTGGTGATCATAATAAATTCTAGTAGACTCTTACTCAGTGCAGTTAATGTGGAGTCCAAGGCAATGCATCCCAAGATTATCCCAAAGGTGGGTTCCAGAAAAAAACAGAGAAACAGGGTACAAAAGGCTACTCACTCTCACAAGAGATGTTACAGATGTTCCTTGACTGACGTATATGTTTGTCCTTGCACCAAAGTTTATTATTGATCTGGAACAGTCCATATTCTGTTCTGCCATTGTTATGGAGTATGGTTTGTGTGTCATAGGCAGTCATATGAAATATGGTGCAGATCCCTGGGGAAAGAGGAGAAAGGTGTCACAGGGATGGCTTGGTGCGGTATAAATGAGCACCTGTGTTCCTAGAGAGCAAAAGGCCCTCCAGCAAATCCCCAAATATGGCACAGCACGGAGTACTTTGATGAGATTTTTTAAAAGTTCCAAAAAAATATGACATTGAGAAAAAGAAAAGATAGGAGAATAAATGTATTAAAAGAGTAAACAGATTTCCCATCAAGATGGAGGCATAGGTAAACACACCTTGCCTCTACACACAGCTATAGGAAAAAAACACATCCAGGCTACAAAACAAATTTCACCCAGAATTGTCAGAAAATTGAGCTGTGTGGAAGTCTGAAAATCAAGGATTTAAAGAAGCCACATTCATCCAGATAGGTAGGAGGGATGGAGAAATGGAAAGGCATGGAGATGGAATGGGCAGTCCCACATCCACACATGGTAGATAAAAAATGGAAAGGATACCTCAGAATCGAGGGATCCCAGCCCCAGTACAGACCACTCAACCCAGGATCCAGGTGCCAGGCAGATAAGTCCCCATAACTTCTGGCTGTAAAAACCCTTGGGGATTGGGGTGGCAGAAGAAACTGTGCCCTCTTAAAGGGCCCACAGTGAATTTAGGACTCATGCAGACCCACTTCCTCTGATAATCAGTACCAGAGCAACAGCTGGGGGGGGTACTGGGGAGAAAGTGAAGTGTGAGTGGGGAGACAGCTTCTTCCTGGGCAAAACTCCAGAGGCCAGGCAGCAACACTGTCCCCTCTGCAAGCCCTCCCACACACAGAGCAACAGAGTGGTGACACAGGTTGCCTCACCCTGGCAATTACCTAAGGCTCTGCTATAAAACTTAACAGATATGCTAAGACAGGGAGTCAAAGCAGCTCTACCTAATACACAGAAACAAACACAGGGAAGTTGACAAAATGAAGAGATAAAGAAATATGCCCATATGAAAGAACGGAACAAAACTCCAAATAAAAGAACTAAATGAAACGAAGAAAAGCAACTCCCTGCATCCTATCAGATGCACAATTCAAAGCACTGGTCATCAGGAGGCTCCAGGAACTCATTGGGTACTTCATCAGCATAAAAAACCCAGGCAGAAATGAAGGTTACATTAAGTGAAATGAAGAAAAATCTACAGGGAACCAACAGTGGAGAGGATGAACCACAGAATCAAATCAACGATTTGGAACATAAGGAAGGAAAAATTATTCAATCAGAACAGCAGGAACAAAAAAAAAATTCAAAAAAATGAGGATAAGATTAAGAATATCTGGGACAAATTTAAATGTACCTACATTCAACTCACAGGGGTGTGAGAAGGAGAAGTGCAAGAGCAAGAAATTGAAAACTTATTTGAAAAAATAATGGAAAAAAATTCCATAATTTGGTAAAGGAAATAGATGTACAAATTCAGGAAGCACAGAGAGCCCCAAACAAGATGGACCCAAAGAGAAACATACCAAGACATATAATAATTAAAATACCAAAGGTTAAAGACAAAGAGAAAATCTTAAAAGCATCAAGAGAAAAGCAGAGAGTTACCTACAGAGGGGTTCCCATAAGACCGTCAGCTGATTTCTCAAAAGAAACTCTGCAGGCTAGAAGATACTGGCAAGAAGTGCTCAAAGTAATGAAAAGCAGGGACCTACAATCTAGATTATTCTATCCAGCAAAGCTAACCTTGAGAATATAGGGGCAAATAAAATGCTTCCCAGACAAGGTAAAACTAAAGGAGTTCATCACCAAGCCATTATTATAGGAAATGCTAAAGGGGATTATATAGGAAAAGAAGAAGATCAAAACAATGAACATTAAAATGGCAATAAATTCACAACTATCAATAATTGAATCCAAATAACAAACTAAACAAAAAATCAGAACAGGAACAGAATCATAGATATGAAGATTATTAGGAGGGTTATCAGTTGGGAGGGGTAACAGGAAAAATGGGGGCAAATTTGCAGGGATTAAGAAGCACAAATTGGTGGGTACAAAATAGACAGGGGGATGATAAGAACAGTATAGGTAATGCAGTAGCCAAAGAACCTATATGCATGACCCATGGACAGGCATTCCCTCCACAGATTGCTGGAAGGAATGGGGGTACCAAGTGGAGGGGGGCAAAGGAAAAATACTTGGGACAACTACAATAGCATAATCAATAAAATATATTGAAAAAGAGTAAACAGATAAACAGAGAAAGTAAGAGGATTATTAGATAATCCAGTGAAAGTGGAGACAAAATCGGGAGGAAAAGGAGGGTGAAGGAGAGAAGCAGATGGATAATGGGATGAAGCAGCAAGGCAGCAGAAAACTCACATTCAGGTAAAGTGATGCCTCCATAGCCATCCATGTTTTTCAGCACCTGGGACAGCTCACATTTTGTAAATTGCTTGGCCTGGAGAGCAGGGAATAGAGTGCTCACCAGAAACAGAGACACGAAAAACATCATGTCGGCTTCACCCAAAAACCTGAAATGGGGGCACCACACAGCTTCACCTCCTTTTATCTGTGAAGAATGCCTCAGGAGCCCTGGCACCAAGCCCTATTTCTAGGAAAAGGATGAAGAGAAACTGGCTATGCCACACAGAAACACAGAGCCTGCCAACTTCCTTCCGTAATTTCACTCCACTTTTCCTTCCCCTTTCCTTATCTCTAGTCCATACAGGTATTATTTGTTCTCCATCCACAGAGCGTTCCAAGCATGGTCCTGTTTCCTATTTGGCTTTATTTATACCTTTGTTTCTTATAAGGCTGGTTCTAGGAAGGAGGATGTTATGGCAATAGACTGTTTGCCTATAACTTGGTTGTATCTCTTCCCTTCCCTGTAAGCAATAAAAAGCTGTATTCAGGTCAGAAATCAAAGCTAAATGAAGAAAAGAAAATAAATGTGCCTTGAACAATAAGAACCATTACTTTCCTAGAAATGTTTGTAAAATACTGTAACTGGGATCATCAGAAAAAGAAGATAGATGTTTAATGGAAACAGTTACAAGCATTCAGAGAAAGATGCATATTCTTGGAAAAAGACCAAACAAGAACAGCAATAACCACAGCATAGGAAGAGGGAGTGTGTGGAAAGACGTGCACACAGCTAATGGAGAAAATCTCCTGCTAAAATCTCCCTTTCCAGAGAGGCTTAGTTAGGGTGCTCTGCTTGCAGGCTGAGATGTGAATCTAGGCAGTGAAGAGGCATTTACAACCACTGGATTTTTCAGAAATATACTAGGAAGCAATGTTCATTGTCTCAGATGCTATGGTAAAAATCAAGGTTTCTCAAGCCACTATCTTTTTTGGAGGATTGTTAGAGATGAAGAAATCAGAAGCATCTGCTTCAAAACACATTTGGCAATAGCCAGCCAAAACTATAGTTTGTACATACTGTTTATAGATACAGTCAAGCGCAACCACTTGGAAGAACACCCTAAAGGCCACAATAATATTGATCATTACTTCTTATAGTTAATATCCTCCCCTTGTTCTACTTCCTCCCATAATTCAGGTAAATTATGACTAGATGAATAAAGCTAGATCTTGAACTTGAAATCCAATTGTCAGACAAATTCCTAACTAAATTATAAAGGAAATAAAATTTGAAGAGGAGGTGTTCTCTAGTTGCTTATACAAACATCCTTGCAAAATAACTTAGTACAATTGATTCACATTCTATAACCACACTAAAGGACTCTCAATTTGTATAGAATTATTTTAAATTGTTGAATTGCATTACTACTTCTATAGCTGTTTTTATGCTTATATAAACCATAGATTTACTTTTAAATTCAGAATAGTATTGAGGGGCTGGGGTGAGAGTAAAAGACAGAAAGCTGTACTTGAACAACAATTAAAATAAATAAATAAATTTAGCCGTGGCTGGTTTAGCTCAGTGGATTGAGTGTGGGCCTGTGAACCAGAATATCATGGTTCGATTCCCAGTCAGGGCACATGCCTGGGTTGCAGGCCAGTTCCCAGCAAGGGACACATGAGAGGCAACCATACATTGATATTTCTCTCCTTCTCTCCTTCCTTTCCCCTCTAAAGTTAAATAAATAAAATCTTTAAAAAATAAATAAATAAATTTTTAAAAAAGATAATAGTATCAATAAAAATGCAAATATACAAATTTTAATCAAAACACACAAATTATTTTGTCCTGACAGCTGTGGTTCAGTTGCTTGGGCACTGCCCCACAAAGTGAAAGGTCACAGGTTCAATTCCTCGTCAGGGCATGTGCCTGTGTTGCAGGTTCAGTCCCCAGTCGGGGAGCATGGAGAGGCAACCCATCTCACACATCAGTGTTTCTCTTCTTTCTCCCTCCCTTCTCCTCTCTCTAAAAATAAATAAATAATTTTTTAAAATAACACACAAATTATTTTAAAATATACTAAAGTGAATTTTACATTTTAATATTAGTGAAAACAAATTGATATGCATGGAATTACTAAAAGGCAATAAAACTTATATGCAAATCTTAATAGATTTTTCATTCTCAATTTATAAAATGTCTATTTTTATTTCTCAAATCCTCACTCTTCTCCTTCTCTCCCTCTCCTTCTTCTTCTTTTTTTTTTTTTTTTTTTTGGAGACAGAAACATCAATGTGAGAGAACTGATTGGTTGTCTCCTGTAGGTACCCAGACTGTGGATCATACAGATCCTAACCAGGGATAAAAAACACAGCCTAGATATGTGCTGAGGCTGGAAATAAAACTCACAACCCTTTGGTTATAGAATGGTGCTCCAACCAACAGAGCCACAGCAGCCAAAGCCTCTCCACAGTCAATCTTGATGCTTAGAGCAGTAAGTTGATATGAGGATAAAAGAAGCACTTCTATGAAGGTGAATATTTCCCCAGGCAGGATTTTTGCATTCAAGGAAGCAAATTATTTAAAATTATCTCAGTGACTTCCTGGAGAACCACTTCCTGGATGAAGAGGTAAAACTCATCAAGAAGATGAGTGACCATCTGGCTAACTTCTGCAGGCTGGCAGGCTCCCAGGCTGGGTTAGGAGAGTATCTCTTTGAAAGAGACGCTCTTTCACCCTCAAGCACAACTAGGAGCCTTTGGAGCCCAGAGAACTTTGGGGGGTCCCTCTGCATCCTTGTGGTGTCTGGCTTCTGCCTGAGCCTCTCCCTGAAACCACTAAGCATCCTTTTAACCACCCTGGAGCCCTTTCCCATGCTTGGGACCCAATAGAATCAACAGAGCATTTTGCAGGAAAAATAAATAAATAAACACCTTGAATGAAAAATGCTTCAAGGTGCAGAATAATACACATACTAATAGGCCATTCGTTTGAAACTTAAAACCACACATAACAGGACTTCTGACCAAGATGGAGGTAAGTAGATATACTTTGCCTCCTCACACAACCAAAAAAAGTACAACAACAAATTTAAAAGCAAAAAACAACCAGAACTGCCAGAAAACAAAACTGTGTGGAAGTCTGACAACCAAGGAGTTAAAGAAGAAACATTCATTCAGGCTAGTAAGAGGGGCAGAGATGGGCAGGTGGGTTGGAGAGCACGTGCGGCAAGGTGGGGGCTGGAGGATTGGGTAGGAAAGGCAGCTGCTGGCCAACCAGGCAGTTTCACATTTGCATGCAAATAAACTGAGAGGAACAACTGGGGAGTGAGACAGACCACTGAACCCAGAGTGCCAGCATGGGAAACTAAAGCCTTAAAATCTCTGGTGTAAAAACCTATAGGGGTTGAGGCAGCAGGAGAAACTCCCAACCTCACAGGAGAGCTCATTGGAGAGAACTACAGGGTCCTAGAACATACACACACAAACCAACCCACCCAGATATCAGCACTAGAATGACCCAATTTGCTTGTGGGTAGCAGGGGAAGTGACTGAAAACCAGATGAGAGCTGACAAGCAGCATTGTTCTCTCTTCAACCCCTCCTCCACATATAGCATCACTATATTTAGCCCCTTACTAAATAGCAGGTGCACAGAGATGAAAAAATGTGACCCAAATGAAAGAACAAAGCTCCAAAAACAGAACTAAGCAATGAAGAGATAGCCAAACTATCAGATGCACAGTTCAAAACACTGGTGATCAAGATGCTCACAGAAATGATTGAGTATGGTCACAAAATAGAGGAAAAAGTGAAGGCTATGAAAAGTGAATTAACAGAAAATATACAGGGAACCAACAGTAAAGGGAAGGAAACCAGGACCCAAATCAATGTTTTGGAGCAGAGGGAAGAAATAAACATTCAACTGGAACAGAATGAAAAAAAACTAGAATTCAAAAAAACGAGGAGAGGCTGAGGAACCTCCAGGACAACTTTAAGTGTTCCAACCCAAATCATAGGGGTGTCAGAAGGAGAAGAGGATGAGCAAGAAACTAAAAACTTATTTGAAAAAATAAGGAAGGAGAACTTCCCCAATCTAGCAAAATAAATAGACTTGTAGGAAGTCCAGGAAGCTCAAAGAATCCCAAAGAAGTTGGACCCAAGGAAGCACACATCAAGGCACATCATAATTACATTACCCATGATTAAAAAGAAGGAGAGAATCTTAAAAGCAGCAAGAGAAAAGGAAACATTTACCTACAAAGGAGTTCCCATAAGACCATCAGCTGATTTTTCAAAAGAAACCTTGCAGGCAAGCAGGGGCTGGAAAGAAGTATTTGAAGTCATTAAAGGCAATGACCTACATTCAAGATTACTCTATACAGCAAATCTATCATTTAGAATTGAAGGGCAGATAAAGTGCTTCCCAAACAAGATAAAGTTAAAGGAGTTCCTCATCACCAAGCCCTTATTATATGAAATGTTAAACAGACTTATCTAAGAAAAAGAAGATCAAAACTGTGAACAGTAAACTGACAACAAACTCACAATATCAAAAACTGAACCTAAAATATATAACAAACACAAACTGAAACAAGAACAGAATCACAGAAATGGAGACACACACATGAAGGGTTATCAATGGGGAGGGGAAGGGGTAAGAATTGGGGGAAAGGTACCGGGAACAAGAAGCACAATTGGTAGGTACAAAATAGACAGGGGGAGGTTAAGAGTAGTAAAGGAAATGTAAAAGCCAAAGAACCTATATGTATGACCTATGGACATGAACTTAGGGGTGGGAGAATGCAGATGGGGAGGTGTGTGCAAGGCAGAGGAGATAAAGCAGGGGAAATGGGACAACTGCAATAGCATAATCAATAAAGTATATTTTAAAAAGACAATAGAAGAGAACAACTAAACTAAGAGCCGGGGGATTAAAGATAAAATTGACAAACTGTTAGCTAGAAAAGAGAGAGAAAACTAAAATAAATAAAATTATAAATGAAAGAGATATTAAACTGATACCACAAAAATAAAGGGTCATGAGAAACTACTGTGAATAACTATACAGAGTGATTGGACAACCTAGAAGAAACAGATAAATTTCTAGAAACACATAACTACCAAACCTGAGTGGTGAAAAAAGAAATCTGAACACTCCAATAACAAGCAAAAAGATTCCATCATTAACCAAAAACCTCCCAAGAAAGAAAAGCCCAGGACCAGGTAGATGTATTCAAGGAAAATTCTACCAATCATTCAAAGAAGAGTGCTTGCCAATTCTTTGCAAACTCTTCCTAAACTGAAGAGTTTGCAAAGTCTTTTTACAAGGCCAGCATTACCCTGAGAGCAGAGCCAGATAAGAATACTACAAGAAAAGAAAACTATAGGCCAAAACGCTTAATAGATATAGATGTAAAAATGCTCAACAAAGTACTAGTAAAACAAACAGTACATTAAAAAGATCATACGTCATGATCAAGTGGAAATTATCCCTGGGATAAAAGGATGGTTCAAGCAACTAAAAGCCATGTACTTATAAACACGAATTGTGTGATTTTCTTTTTGGTCATGTATCTGCACCCTCCGAATTATTTCAGGTCTTCCTAAAATTTCTTTTGCATTGGATGAATTTATTTCACTTTCTCCCCCAAAGCTCCAAATTATCGGGAATCATAGAGATTTTGATGTATTTTTCATTTAGCTCCAGACCCTATATTTAAGAATATTGGTAACCTAGACTGGAAATAAGCAAGAGATGAAGAAACTCTTGTCAAACAAGCAATGGTGGCTAGAAATCAATAGTTGGGGTGGGAGCATGGTGGTAATCGTTAGGGACATGGATAAGGACATTGGAAGTACTCTGGGTAGTGATTAAAAGAGTGATCTCTAGGCTCAGCCAGCCAATCTGTTGAAGATCTAAATAGAATAAAAGGCCAATATGTTGGTCTTTCCTTGCCTTCGGACTCCATCTGAGACTGGAAATTACACCATCAGCTCTCCTTGTTCTCAGACTCAGACTTGTACTAGAACTTACAACGTTGGCTTTTCTGGCTCTGGACTTCTCAGCCTCCATAATCTTACAAACAAATTACTGATAATAAGTGAATACAGACACGTATATTTATAATAATATATACACATATATAAGTGAATAGAGATATTGAAGAGAATTCAAGTATAGTTGGGTGTTTAGATCTAATGACTTCTTTCAGGTGTAGGGATATTATGAACTTAATCTGTAGTGGTCTTCTGTTCAGTCAATGGTTTCCTGACTGCAGATGCCAAGAGCCTCAATCCCTCCAAACTCAGTGATGGCCATCATGGGTCCCCCACCAGATGGAGTGGGAAAATACTTTAGCTAAACAGATAATGAGCTTCAGTTCAGCAGAGCATAGAAGGACAACTCCCTCTGGGGACATTCCAACAAAGAACAAGCCTTTGAAAAATCATACTTTTTTCTCCTACCAACTCCCTTCTTTTGCCATCCCCCACTTTCCATGCATTTGCCCAAATCTAAGATTGCTCCCCGCACCCACACATTATTCCTGGTACCATTCTTGGTTACATCCCCTTCCCTGAAATTCACACTGGCAGTTTGGGGAATTAGCCTTGGCCAGCCAAGTCCTTCTTCCTGGCACAGATGCCAGCATGACTGCCCACGCAGGGACACTTTGTGCCCAAAGAGTATAAGAGACAACGGCATCCTGGACATACCAGTCTGTGGGTTCCACTAGCTGCAAAAAATGAGGCCAGTTCTGATCATCTCCCTCCTCAGCTGCTTCTTTGCAGCTTACAATGCCAAAATCTTCTCCAAGTGTGAGCTGGCCCGAAAGCTGAAGGCTCATGGAATGGATGGCTTCCATGGCTACAGCCTGGCAAACTGTGAGTATGAACTACTCCTCTGTCCTTTCTGTCCCTGCCCAAAAAGGCTCTCTTCCCCAACCCAGCAAGCTCTCCCCAACTCAGCTTTCTCCCACTCCCCTGCCTATTCTTGTCTCCTTCCCCTCTGCCTTATAGTTCCTACCTTGTTTTCCTTCTCTCTCTTTCCACCTATTATCTTACCTAAAATAATTTTTCTTTTGCTTCTTCCCCAAATCGTCTTCCCACTGATGGCCTGGAATACTTCCTTGGACATACCCAGGGACTAACCAATGCACTTCTGGTTTTACTGCCATCACCTTGGCTTTCGTCTGTGTTCTTTCTAGTCCAGGTCTCTGGAGCACAAGAGGTGCTCCCCCTACCCTCTCCCCTGCTCTTTTGTCTGCCAAAGAATAACCCACATCTGCTAAGTTCTAAGTAGAAGGTTCTTCTACTACTGTCACAAGGGAGTTAGATGGGGATCGTGAGAACAAAAGGTGAGGCAGTGATAAGGGTGCAAGAACTGAGAGCCCTTCGTCTCATTGGTAGGCACAAGTAAAACTACTTTAGTTTCTCTTGAATATCTTAATTGTTCTCCATGCCAAACCTTCTCTTTCATATTACCCCCAAGGAAAGCTTTTTCTGAAATTCCTTCCTGGGATTCTCCCACCACTTCACCTCTTCCCTTGCATATACCTTGGGGTATAGAGCAAAACTGCATATCCATGGCAAAAACTGGATATTTGGCTGAAAGGTGAGACTAGAAAGGTTACATTGGGGAACAGACTGTGACTGGTTAATGATTGGCATTCCAAATGCACACATTTCACATGAGCTAATTATTGCTTAAGCCTGAGAATACGCCTGGATTATAAATGACCTCCAATTGAGGATCTCATGGTCTTTGCATTTCAGTCTTAATGGGCTTTCATTTCTGTTAGTTCTAATACAGCACAAATTGAACCTCATTATGGAACATGCTCCCTTTTTTATCCACACTTTTTGCTCTCTTGGACACAGGGGTCTGCGTGGCTGAGCATGAAAGTAACTTCAACACCCGGGCCTTTAATAGAAAAAATGCCAATGGCAGCAGTGACTATGGGATCTTCCAGCTGAACAGCAAGTTTTGGTGCAAAGACAACAAGTATCCCTCTGCAAATGCCTGCAACAAAATGTGCAGCAGTAAGAACTCTACCCCTCTGGGGCCCGGGTGGAGTAGGGGCAGGTAAAACAGGTGCCACACTGAACGCACTACTCCCTAACACCTGCCCGTTAGCCTGTGCTGCGCAGGCTGACTATACAGAAGAAAAGGGCCCTAAGCAGTTGTCACACTAAAACAAGTTTCCACAGAGATCCTTCTGCCAAAAAGGAGGGAGAAAGGTACACTGACCGGTGACTAAGCCTCACTGTCATGGGTCCCCATCTCTCCAGACATATCGTCCTGTTCCTCACACAGACACCACCGCATCACCATTTGACAAACCCACACACGCTACTCAGGACACGCTAGGCAGTCACCTGCAACGAAGGCTCTCCCCAGCCCTTCGAGTGCTGGACACCTTCCGGAGGGAGGAGGGCTCAAGGACAGATTCTTGGCAAAAACACACAAAAAAAACAGCAAATCAAAGGCAAACCTGCTGAAGGGCTTCAGTGATAAAGGGTTTCTGAATCTCAAGGCTGTTTCCTCTGGGAACTCCTCTCCAAAAATGATTATTAAAACAGGAAAAGGGATTTTTTCCTTCTCCACTCATCCACTTGTCCTTTCAGAATTTCTGGATGACAACATCAGTGATGACATTGCCTGTGCCAAGAGAGTTGTGCGAGATCCCAACGGGATGTCTGCTTGGTAAGGGGAACGTGGAGGGCAGAGACCAGCCACTCTGCCAGAGACAGGCCCAGACTGTATCTGGAATGCTCATGTAAGCAGTATCTGTGCTGTAGGATTTTGCCAGGACTTTGTAAGGAGACTGTCCTCCTGGTGTGAAATGAGGCAGAATACTACTGTGACATTTTCACCCCAGGCATGACTGCAGCACCCACCCACCCGTCTTGGGTGGGCAAGCCTTCCCTATCGGGGATTCACACAGCATGAGTGGACCCCAACCCACAGGCCCTGCATTCCCTCTCAACTGAGCCCTTACAGACTTCTGACCATGCCTCTGATCTATGTTTTATTTCTCTCTCCTTAGGGTGGCCTGGGTAAATCACTGCAAAAACAATGATTTGTCCAAATACCTGGCCAGCTGTGACCTGTGAGACTGTCCTTGAACATGGTTCCTGAAGAAGGTGGCCCAGAAGGTGGGGCAATTCTTTAAGGTCTTTGAAAGCTCTGAATGTTCCCCCACCTCCACCTTCAATAAAAATTACTCAAATCCAGCTGTCTCAAGGAGCATGTTTAAGGGCTGGGGTCGTGATACAGACTTGCGCATGGAATAGACAGCTGGAAGTCCTGTTCTCATCAAGCCTACCACTGAAGTTTCCTGTCTCTCCTCTGGAAAGATACTTTAAGAATCCTTTCTTGAGAACTTCTTATGGGTTACCCAGTCTAAGCGAGAACTGACAGCTAAATATAGCATTCTGGATACCAACTCTTAGAAATTCATTTAGTATCTGTGCCTAATATTATTCTCCATCACCATAAAAGAAAATTCAAGATAAAATAGAAGAAAAATGCGGGAGAGATTTGGTTTAGACCTGGGGAAGAAATGGCAGAATATCAGGATGATTGTGTTCGCTACAATAAATGACTAAGCTGCCCAACAGAGCCCCTGAAATACGGTGCTCTCACAAAGTAGTCCAGGACGGCTAGAGAGGCTCCCTTGCCCCACATATCCAGAAACCCAGGTTCGTTTCATCTTGCACCTCCACCGTCCTCCTCAGCAGTGCTACTCAAAGTGTGGTCCATGGGCCAGCAGCATCAGCATCACCTGGGAGCAGGTTATATTCCTCTCTGTAGGCTCTAGGGCAGTGTTTCCTACCCATTCAGGTGTTGGCAAAATTCAGTCTCCCACAGTATAGGACACAGGTCTGATTCTTTGCAGGGGGCCATATTTAGCAACTAGAAACCTCTCCCTCGTCCCCATACATAGTTCCCCCCACATCTCAGAACCACCATCAAATCCTTCTCACAGTTTTTCTGATCACAGCTGAGAAGGGTTCTCCACTTTAAAGGACTCCAGGTTAGATTGGACCCTGAAATAATCCAGGATACTTTTCCCATCCAAAGCCCTTAACCATGATCATGTCTATACAATTCCTTTTGCCAAGTTAAGGTAGCATTCACAGGACTGAGGGATTAGTATACGCACATCTTGGGAGACTACCATTCTGTTTACCACAGGTGCATTTTGGGACATTGCCCAGCTGTAACTGGGCGCATGCAGCAACGGTATGATTACCAAAAGCGCAGGACTCTTCAGGAATGAGTTAGGATCACACCGCCAAGTAAGCTCCCAAGACCTACCAACACGATAACCAAGGATGAAGGGAACTTAGAACATTTAGTGAAGGGAGGTGACCGTAAGTCGTGGCCCCAAGATAAACTGCAGCAATGGAAGTTTTAATTCATTCCCCTAAGCTATCTTGCTATTTTCCTTCTAAGAGGCCCCTTAGGAATTGTGAACATGCATGGAAATTAATGTCTGGCACAAGGTAGAATGTAGTGGGCACTGGAATATGCTACCCAAATCTCAAGGGTACATACAGCTAGCAGTAACACCTTCAAGCTCCCTCCCCTTTCTATATACAAGGTTTTCAGTCATGGAAGCAGCCTGAAGCCACTTTCCTCAAGTGGCAACAGTGACTGAAAACAGAAGTAGTAGGCCATTTCTTCTAAAAGGAACACTTCTAGGGACTCCAGTAAGGAGGCTTTCTCAGATACGACGCAGCCTGAGGTTTTCCTACCAAATTATGTTTTCCTTGTGCTTACCAGAAGCCAAGACCTTGGAGGATTGGCGGCTACACATGGCCTTCTCAAAACTCACCACTGCTACTGGGTTTTCAAGAGTTCTCATCAAAATATCTGGGCTGCTGCCCTGACCAGGAGGCTCAGTTGGTTGGTGAATTATCATGTATACCAAAGGTTGTGGGTCTGGTCCCCAGCTCAGCCACATTCGGAAGGCAACAGATCAATGTTCCTCTCACAGTATTTCTTTTTCACTTCCTCTAAAAATTAATGAACATATCCTCAGGTGAAGATTTTTTTTTAATTAAAAAAATTTAACTTATGAATTTCCTGGCTTCCACTTCCCCTCCCCTATCCCCGAAGTGTTCATGGGCCTGTTCACAGAACAATCACGAGTAATGGGTCGCTGCTAGTGGTTTGTAGATCACTCACAGCAGCACAAGTCATGTTCCTCTAGTGTATAAAGTATTAAAAGTACTGAACAACAAAGCAGTAGAAACCACAGAGTATATTGCAAGACCTACGCAAGATCCTAGGAATTCACCCCGTGGGCCTTCTAAGTTACTTTCAACCATTCTGTGAATGTACATATTTAAACTAAAGCCAAAGTGATGGTGTAAATGAGCCATTTTCCACCGGTATGCTGCAAGAATTTTCAAAATGCCCGATACCCATCTAGTCAGGGGCAATGACCTTTGCCCTTAGGTAGTCAAAAAAAAATGTCAACAGCCAGCACAATAGCTGACTAATGTCAATGACTCAAAAAGTTTTTTTGAGTCATACTTTTTTTTTTTTTGGTCAGACCAGCAAGAATGTATTTCCTGGTGTACTGCAGAATTTGTCATTTGTGTCATGAGATGAAAACGGTTGAAAATCATTGGTTTAACTATATATAAACCTCTCTGTCCCTCAGTTTGGCTTTTATTGGAGGTAATCTTTTGGCCTCCTTGTTATAATGCATCTCAACAGAGACAGCTTCTGGCACAGGTAACTTAACCCTGACTGAATTTAACCCCACCCCTAGACTCATCAAAAAGATCTTGACAACCTACACCTATCTCTTTGATACAGCATCAGACCCAACTCCTCTGAGAGTTTTATTTCTTTTAAAGATTTTATTTTTAGACAGGGGGGAAGGGAGGGATAGAGAGGGAAACATCAATGTGTGGTTGCTTCTCACATGACCCCTACCAGGGACCTGGCCCACAACCCAGGCATGCACCCAGACTGGGAATCAAATCAGCAACCCTTTGGTTCGCAGGCCGGCGCTCAATCCACTGAGCCACACCAGCCAGGGCTGGGAGTTTTATTTTTGTTTACCTATATACATTCCCAGCCTGGAGAATTTTTAAATGATAATCAGACATGGCATGACAAACATGGGAGCAGGAGTAGGGAGCACCGAGGAGAGGCAGGCTTTAATAAGGTCCTACCCTTTCCGTTTACTTCTAACAGGTCTTTATCTTATCCTGCAAACCGAACCCCAAGTAGGTTACTGAAAATGTATTTACTTCTTGGGATCAAAATATATCCTGCCCCATTTTCTCTTTCCCATCAGAAACAGCTCCCTAAGGACCCCCCAATACAAACCAAACATTCAATCAACTGTTTTATATTTTCATAACATTTTAACATTTAATAGAAACTATATACAATAACTTTTTATGGTATTTTACATAAGATAGTCACCACAGAAATTTACATAGGTTAGAAGCAAGATGGATGGTTAAGCAGGGCCCAGTCCTATGGGCTATTTTCCGTGGGGGGAGGGGAATCAGATTACCCAATTAGGTGCAAGGTGAGAAAAGGCTAAAACACAGGCTGTTAGATAGCAATAACCAGACACTGGGCCCATCAACATCCCAAGAGTACACAGCTCCCACCTAAACACCGATCTGGGTTTATTCCAAGACTTGGGAAATGCCCTTATAAAGATGGCTTTCCCCGTAGACACAGAGTCCCAAATATTCACTAAATCCCAGCAGCTGTGACAGGGTTCTCCCGTCTCTTCCTTGCCCAGAGAGGGAAGACACTCACAACTTTTAGATACTACTGGTCCCTTCCCCCAAAATGTGGTAGATGTTTGACTACAGCACGAAATAACCCAGAAGAAAAACCAACTAGTCTGGGTTTGTCCTTTAGAGAGCGAGCTGGTCAGAAATACTTATTTAATTAAAGAATGGGAAATTCAAATCCTCCAAAGTCAAATGGTTCTCAAAACAAACTATCAGCTGACAGAAGTGTGCTCTGGCTTCCCATTGGCAGTAGCCACTCCACTTTGAGGCAATGGTGCAGAGGCTTGCTCAGAATTTCGAGATCCCTGCAATCTGCACCCATCTCCAGCCATCTGCATATGGCCCTGTTAAAAGAAAGTCACTTTGGTTACAAATGCATCTGTCATGGTCTGAGCATGAATCTGACTTAATAATGTCCATGTATCGGAGCAACAAGAACAAGAGTAGAACTAAAATAACTCTGGGCAGTTGTTCTTCCCCATACTTAACTGTCCCTGACTCTTAAAGCCAGAAGCCATTACTTGAAGCATTCCTGAGGCTCTCCCAGTGGGAGGGAGAGCTGTGGGCTGTCTCTTCCCAATGAAAACAGCCATTCTGTGCTCATTTCCCAGAACCACCAACGGATCACAGGAAGACAGTCCTCTGGGCCTCTGCTTGAAACCGGCAGTTATAGTGTAACTGCTGGTCTTCAGTCAGGGCCATTCAAATCCCTCCCACGGCTGAGAAAGAAACCAAATCACATTACCTACCCTTACCCTACGATGAAAATAATTCCGGTGCTAACCTCTCCCTTAAAAGGAACAGTTTACCTAAATTCTTTGTCTAGTTAACTAAATAAATTTGTGTCCTGCTCTCTGAGATGCGAAGCAGGGTTTCTCTCTGGTGACCTGCCATCTGGGGCACCTTCAGTCTCTGTGCATGACAACCGTACTCACTGCCCGGAGTACAGACTGCTGGCTGCATGACTACATGAGGGAAGCCTGGCTGGGGTTGTTCTTCACTTGCCAAAATATCCACGGGAACTTCAGCAGTGTCTTTGATGAAATGATCTTCAAGGGTCAGTGAAGGATCAAAAAGCAAGGGTGAAGGAGGACACTGCATACTGTCACCCACAACATCCAAGTCCTAGGAAAAGAAACAGAAAAGCCTATCAGCAATACCCAATGCACCAATCAGCTCAAGGTGGCATGTGTGTCAGCAAACCACAAAGTAATTTTCCCATCTTCCCTTACCCCTTACCTACCCTAAATCAAAAACTTTCCCTTAATGTCCAGAAAATTGGATAAGATCCAAAAACACTAAGCCTTTTTTCTTGCTGCCACATATAAAGCACACACCACCATAGTAGCTTTAAAGAGCCTATTTTTTTCAATCAGCAAAATTGCAAATTAAAGTGAACTATTGCCTTAAATATTAGACAATATGAGATTGCTTGATTAACAATCTTATAAGCCACAAAGCAAGCCAGTAAGCGAAAGTGGGAGGAAAGGGAGAGAAAAAAGAAATGAAGGACAAAAAACTCAGTCCCTCTTAATGGCTACAAAATAGTGTTTTGGTTAAGTCCCTATATCCACAGAGCAAGTTCCTGATTCTTAAACTTAACATTGTCCAATTGCTGTTAAAAAAAATTAAAAGACATGATATTCTATAAGCTGTTTCCTCTAATTGAATTGGTCATTCCCACTGGGGTCCTGAATGGCCAGCGGACAACAGGAAGACACTGCTCTTGGCTCCTGTTTGAAACCAGTAGCTATGATAAACCACTGGTCTTGATTCAGGGCCTAAAGCATTGCAAAGATGACGTGTAGGAGACTTTCATGGCACTGCTTTCTAAGAGGCTTCTCTTAAACTCTCCTGCCTAAGAGTGAAAATTACCCAAGGGCTTGTATTCCCCCAGGTACAATCCACTTTATACAGGCTCTGCTTCCAGCAATCTAATTTCACAAGAAGCTCCCCCAGCTCACTTAGTGTATGCTTTTAAATAAATCTTAGAAGTTCAAATCCTTTCCCTTTCTTTGGTGTGTGAATCACCAGAAGCAGGAATCACATCTTCGAAATAATTAAAAAAAAAAAAGAATGTAAGTAAAAGAATATTGGACTTAAATCTGCTCAATTTAAGCAGAAACACAGGGAAAGGGATACAGTCAGCTACGTAACTACCTAACATTCATCTCAGGTGTGTACTTTTCAGAAACTTCTATAATACCCACAGAAACCAATGTTCTCACATGGTAAGACAGTTAACTATTTTCTTCAATTTTTTACTACGCAAAATTATGATAGAAGTAACTTGGAATTTAAAAGAACCTATTTAAGTGGCGAGGCAAAAGGTTTTGAAATCTCAAGATGACAATGGCCTGGAAATGTTTTCAAAGAAAGATACTGGAAAAATATATGAGAAAGATACTTTTCTCATATATTCAGTGTTGTCTATTACAAGGATTAAAATTGGGGAAAAGATTCTAAAATAAGAGAGGAAAAAACAATCAGCAGAAATGCTTACCATAACAGGAATGTTAAGAGACACAAAGATCAAAATATTTTAAGAGAATCCATTTTTCTTCCACTCTCAAAACCTCCCTCACACACAAATAAAGCAAAAACTCAAAGTAACAGGGTTAAGTCAGTAGGTTGTTACTTGCCAAATATCCTTGAATCAAAGCATAGAAAACAGATGAATGTAATATCCTGAATTTTTACCCATATTAATAGCTCATAACTGGCCCTCCCATGAAAAAAGTTGTTAACAAGTTATAGAAATGATACCTAAGAATACGCACAACAAAATTGCTTGGTGAAATTCATATAATTAAGAAATTGTTACTTCCCAGCAAAATTTTATACTAATATATAAAGAATTTGTGAGAAGACAAAAATCCTTTTCTAAAACTGAATTTTGTTCCAACATTTTCTTGAGAACTTTTACCTCCAAAGATTTAAGAATAAAACTACTTTTTAATAAGTTATGTGGTTTATCAAAAGTACATTAACGTGAACAGAATAGATTACCAATTACAAATAGCTCATTGTTTACCATTTTTACCTCTAACCAAGATTTACCTTAAAAACCCATTGGATTCTCAAAAGTAAGGTTTTTTCCCCTCAACATTCTTTTAGAAATCCATGCCCAAAATAAATATTAAAAAATCTGACATGTATTTTTAAATACTTTTTAAAATTAAGAGTACTAAAATGTCAGGTTTTGCCTATAGTAGTCACAACTTACAATCACTAACACTTTGTATACATTCTCCAAAGAGCAAATAATAAAATCTTCAAACATATTGGAAGAGTTGTATTTTCTTAACTCTAGATTATCAAAGGTTTGAAAAAGAAAACATCATTTAAAACATGGGGAAAACAAGTGAAAGGAGGGTTAGGGTCCAAATGGTCCAACAGAAATGGCTCTGGGAATGACCAGATGACATAAACACTAATAATCTAGTAGATTCTATATAAAACACATGCTAGTTTTACATATGTACATTAATATTTGAAGAGAATTGGGTGATGTACTGGTTATTTTTTAGACCCTATAGAGCTTCTTGTGTTACTAAGTTGTTTTTTTTTTTAAAGATTTTATTTATTTATCTTTAGAAGGGAAGGAGAGAGGGGGAGCAATGTATGGTTGCCTCTAGTGCATCCCCTGCAGGGAACTGGCCTGCAGGGAACCTGCCTGCAACCCAGGCATGTGCCCTGACTGGGAATCGAACCGCGATCCTCTAGTTCACAGGCCTGTGCTCAATCCACTGAGCTACACCAGCCAGGGCTTGTGTTACTAAGTTTTAAAAATAAAGGTACCCCTCTGGGTTTCCTTCACATGTAAAATGAAGGAAGTGGACAAAAATCTGTCCTCCTCAATCAAGGGTGACCTGTTCACTCACTCTCTGCAACATAATCTCAGTGGAAGTCTGGGAAACACTAGAGTACATAACCTCTAAGGTCTTTTTCTAGTTCTCATATTCTATGAATCTGTGTGAAAGAAACTTTTTAAACAGTAACTATAATCAGGATTATAAAAGCTTTATCAATGAATACAAATCACAAATTTATTATACTTGTACACTGCATATAAAGGAAGGGGAAATCATAAAAAAAATTACCATCAGTTTATTCTTAATGCCATGTTTTTCAGCTATTACCGTAACCTAGTTTTTAGTGTATCTTGAGGCCACCGTATATACTAACCTTGCCTCTGTCCTTGGCAAACAATCTTGCAACCTATATGGAATTTTCCATTTAGATGTGTCCCCTTAAACATATTATGTAAGATACCTTTATTATGAAATGCAAGAGACATATCTTCAGAATAATGAAGACCTTTATCCAGAAGATTAAGCAAAGTGCCAAGACAAAGATGCAATGTCAATTGATCCTTAGTCACATGGTAGGGTAGTGCCAACCAGGGAAACAAAATCTGAGCTGGTTTATGGGCTAGTGCTAATGGAAGAACAAGCTGAGAAAAGCAGAGTAGTGTACATACTTAGAAGGCTATAAAAGTAAATACTCAGGGAGATCAATGCTGTTCTAGTCCATTCACAATAGAATGTGTAATAACATCAGAACTGAAAATTAGTAACCAGGGCCAGTGTTGCTCAGTGGACTGAGGGCAGGTCTGTGAACCAAAGGGCTGCCAGTTCGATTCCCAGTCAGGACACATGCTTGGGTTGTGGGCGAGGTCCCCAGTAGGGGGTGTGCAAAAGGCAACCGCACACTGATGTTTCTCTCCCTCTCTCCCTCCTTTTCTCTCCTCTAAAATAAGTAAAATCTTAAAAAAACAAAAACAGTAACCAAAGGTAAGTTTAGAGTAATTTATTGGGACACACGTTAATCTGAAAATGAAACCACTTACTATACAGCCAAAACACAAGTTTACACTGTCAAGAGTAGCAATGTCAGAACTTGTTGGTTTTATTAGTAAGATTCTGGTGAATCACTCACCTTGTGGATGGGTACTGAATTTCTTGGCTACACCAAATCCAACCATAATCTTGACTTTCCAAATTCCTTTAGTTTTTACAGTTTCCCTTATTTTCTCAGAAAAACTTCTGCCAATTTAAACTGTCCATAAATGAATAGGCTAACATACACATACAACCATGTATGTATCATTTCAAAAAGTTTATCAACTCTCCTAACCACAAAAGACTAACCTATTCTTACCATTAATAAATAAGGCCTTGCCTCAAGGGCCAACCAGAGCAGAGCTTCTCTAACTTACATCACTGAACTCCAGAGGTAAACTCTCAGTGGGCTGAAGCTCAGCAGCACTCAAGTACAGATCCATGGGGCCGGCTTCCAGATCGTCTGGCACAGACAGTACCTGCTCGGGCTTATACATCTGAGGAGGCAACTGGAAATGCAGTGGGCAGCAGGGATCCTCAGAGAGGCTTACAGGAACTGGTTTGTTGCAGGGTACCTCTTCAGACCCCTGGCAGCATTTGAAGAGAACCTGATTCATATCCTGACATATATCTGTAGAAAAACGGTCAAGGGAAATAAAATGGATCTATGGGAGGAGGTACAAAATAGAGGAGGTGTCTGCCATGAAAACTCAAGGTATGGACTACACAAAATAATGGGTTAGATTGGATATAGAACCAAATGCGGTTAGCAATTTTTCTAGTTCTAGATCTACCAGTAATTTAACACTAGTCCCAAACCCCCATTTCAAAATCCTAGTCATTTAAACAGGAAACATTAATCTTGTTCTCTTTATAAGGTCAAACACAAAACATTTAAAAATACAGTGCTAAGAAAAGAGCAACAATCCTAGGAATCTACACTTATTCAGAAGGAACATGTCAAGAAAAATTCAAATAGCTTACTGAGTCCTCTACCAAACACCTTCCAAGAGTCCAGAGTCGAGAGATATACAAAGTTGTCTGTGCTCCATTAAGCAGACTGGCAAAAAGTTTGCAAAATCTCTTTGAACCTTGTTTCCAAAATGTTTATTTACATGATAAATTTGCTTAAAGCAGCAGAGGGCTGGGGAAAATGAAAGCTCTACTAATAGTGACTAAAAGGAAGTAAAAATATATTTCTATACCTTTTTGGGGGGAGGGAGGGGTGTTAGTGCAGGGGAGTCTCCTGTTATTATGCCACAGAGAAAGGGAAGAAGGTAATTTCCCTTATGAAAGCCCATGGAAGAAAGTACTCCAGGAGTGCTCCAGCTCTAACATGATAACCTAGGGCTAGAAGCAGAAAAGGGCTATTATTTTCCAAGTTGACAAGAAGCTCTGTAAGATGAATCAAAATTGAAATCATTAAATAAAATAACAAAACTCCAGTTCAAGTTACTCTACAAAACACATTTTACTGGACTTCTGCCAAGATGGAGGCGTAGGTGGAAACACATTGCCTTCTGGCACAACCAAGTTTAAAAACAACAAAGTTTTAGCAACAAAAATGCAGCCAAACCATAGAAAATCAAATTAGATGGAAGTATGAGAACAGCGAACCCTTCAGCCAAACTGGTAAGAGGGGCAAAGCCAACAGCAGAGCAGGGTCGGGCAGGAAAGACCCACCTGACCAACCCGGGTGCACCGGGCAGCCGTGGGCGGATCCCAGGTGTGGAGTAGCAGCAGGCGGACCCACTGAGGGCTGACCACAGTCACACATTCGCCCAGATAAACCCCAAACCAGTGAAGGAGCAAGCAGTGACATGGACTGCCCAGTCCCCAGCACCAGGAAGTGACAGAGGGGACCACCATTGTCTCTCTCTGACCCTGCCCCCACATACAGAGTCACAAACCAGCGACCTGGGCGGCCCTGCCCTGGTGAACACCTAAGGCTCCTCTCCTCATGCGTAACAAGCACGAACAGATCAAAACATGGCTCAAGAACAACTCAGAGCCCCAGAGCCAATAAATCTAAGCGACCAAGAGATAGCTAATCTTTCAGATGCACAGTTCAAAACACTGGTGATCAGGATGCTCACAGAACTGGTTGATTTTAGTCACAAATTAGAGGAACATATGAAGGCTAAACTAATTGAAATGAAGGGAAATGCACAGGAAACCAACAGTAATGGAAATAAAACTGGGACTCAAATCAAAGGGTGAACCAGAAGGAAGAAAAAAACGACCAAACAGAAAAGAATGAAGAAAAAAATTCAAAAAAATTAGGAGAGGCTTAAGAACCTCCAGGACATCTTTAAATGTTCCAACATCCGAATTATAGGGGTACCAGAAGGGGAAGAGGAACAGCCACCAGTGGAAAACTTACCTGAACAAATAATAAAGGAGAACTTCCCCAATCTGGCAAAGGAAATAGACTTCCAGGAAATCCAGGAAGCTCAGAGTCCCAAAGAAGTTGGACCCAAGAAGGAACACACCAAGGCACATCATCATTACATTAGCCAAGATTAAAATGAAGAAGAGAATCCTAGAAGCAGCAAGAGATAAGGGGGCAGTCACCTACAAAGGAGCTCCCATCAGACTGTTAGCTGATTTCTCAAAAGAGACCTTACAGGCAAGAAGGGGCTGGAAAGAAGTATTCCAAGTCATGAAAGGCAAGGACCTACATCCAAGATTGCTCTATCCAGCAAAGCTTTCATTTAGAATGGAAGGGCAGATAAAGTGCTTCTCAGATAAGATCAAATTCAAGGAGTTCATCATCACCAAGCCCTTATTGTATGAAATGTTAAAGGGACTTACCTAAGAAAAAGAAGATAAAAAAGATGAACAGTGAAGGACAGCAAACTCACAGTTATTAACAACCACACCTAAAACAAAAGCAAACTAAGAGGACAGCTAGATCAGGAGTGAACCACAGAAATGAAGATCACATGGAGTGGTTAGCTACAGAGGAGTGGGAGAAGGAGAAGGGGGGGAGAAGGTACAGAAAATAAGTAGCATAGATGGCTGGTAGAAAATAGGGGGAGAGCAAGAATAGTAGGGGAAATATAGAATCTAAAGAACTTAGGACACGTGGTCATAAACTAAAGGGGGGAATGGTGGGAGAGGGGGTGTGCAGGGTGGAGGGGAATGAAGGGGAGAAATAGAACAACTGTAATGGCATAATCAATAAAATATATATTTTTAAAAAACATTTTACTGAAGTGTTATCATTTCTAAAACTCCTGACTGCACAGTTATTTTCCTATTATTTCAAATATAGGCTTATTTTTAAGTAAGAAAACACAATTGCCTATAAACTGATTGTATCCAGGATTATTGAAGGTCACCTGGAATTGAAAAATAAATTAAAAAAATGAAATTATCCAGTCAAGATGGAGAAGTAGGTAGAAACCCTTTTGCTTCCTCACACAACCAAGAGGAGGATAACCACCAATCTAAAAACAGTAAACAACCAGAAATGCCAGAAAATCAAACTGCATGGAACTCCAACAACAAAGGAATTAAAGAAACATTCACCCAGACTGGTAGGAAGGAGACAGGCAGTCCAGTGGGGAAGAAGACCCTTGGAAAGGTGGAGGACAGTGCAGGCCTGTAGGTGGGGCTGGCTGAGAGGTCCTCTGGCAAGGCAGTGGACTGAATGGGAAACTAAGACTTGCAGCTAAATATAAACTACAGTGGGGGTTGCCATCGTGGGAGAAACTCCCAGTCTCACAGGGAGTTTGGTGGAAAGTGGGGCTAGAGCTGAGCAAGTGAGCAGCTTTGTTCCCTCTCTGGCCCCTCCCCCACAGGCAGTGGCACAAGGCAGCAAGGAGGGTTGCCCCACCCTGGAGAACACCTAAGGCCCCTCCCCCAGCCCCACAATATAACAGGGCATCAAGACAAAGAAATATGGACTTCTGGCCAAGATGGAGGCGTAGGTAGACACACGATGCCTCCTCCTGCAACCAATATAAGGACAATTTAGAAACAAAATAACAATCAGAACTGACAAAATTGAACTATATGTAAGTCGGGAGAGCCAAGGAGCTGAAACAGATACATTCATCCAGACCAGTAGGTGGGGTGGAGTCAGGCGACCATGTGGAGAAGGGTCACAGTACAAGAAGCAGCAACACCAGACACGCAAGGCACCCTGGATGTGCAAGACGGAAGCAGGCAGACCCTTGGTGCATAGGCAAAGGTTGGAAGACCCCCAGCATGGGGTGGCAGCAGGCGGACCCAGCGAGGGGATAAGAATGAAGCGAGGTACTACATGCAAGGCAGCTGGCTGACTGGGAAGTTCCACATTCACATGCATATAACTGGGGAGGGAGACAGACCTCGTAATCCAGGGTCCCCGTGCAAGGAAACAAAGCCTCGAAACACTAATTGAAGACACCTCTGGGGGTTGATGCATAGGAAGAGATGGCTAGCCTCACAGGAAAGTTCGCTGGAGAAACCCACAGGGTCCTAGAACATACACAAGCACACCCGCCCGGGAACCAGCACCAGAAGGACACAGTTTGCATGGGGGAAGCAGTGGAAGGAACTGAGGTCCTACAGAGAGCGAAGTAAGTGCCATTGTTCCCTCTCTGCATCACAACCCAGAGACTGGGTTGCCCCACCCTGGTGGGCACCTAAGGCTCCGCCCTTCAGTACATTAACAGGTGTGACAAGATTAAAAAAGTGGCTGAAACAGAAGAACAGATCAAAGCTCCAGAAATAGCACAACTAAGCGACCAAGAGACAGCCGACCTATCAGATGCAGTTCAAAGCACTGGCGATCTGGACGCTCACAGAATTGAATTTGGTCGCAAATTAGATGAACAAATGAAGGCTACACACTAAGTGAAATGAAGGAAAATGCACAGGGAACCAATAGTGATGGAAATAAAACTGGGACTCAAATCAATGGAGTGGACCAGAAAAAAGAAAGAAACAACCAAACAAAAAAGAAGAAAGAAACAAGAATTCAAAAAAAAATGAGGAGAGGCTTAGGAACCTCTAGGACATCTTTAAACGCTCCAATATCCGAATTATAGGGGTACCAGAAAGGGGAAAGGCACAGCCACCAGTGGAAAACTTATTTGCACAAATAATAAAGGAAAATTTCCCCAATTTGGCAAAGGAAATAGACTTCCAGGAAATCCAGGAAGCTCAGAGGGTACCATAGAAGTTGGACCCAAGAAGGAACACACCAAGGCACATCATCATTACATTAGCCAAAATTAAAATGAAGGAGAGAATCCTAGAAGCAGCAAGAGCTAAGGGGACAGTCACCTACAAAGGAGTCCCCATCAAACTGTCAGCAGATTTCTCAAAAGAGACCTTACAGGCAAGAAGGGGCTGGAAAGAGGTATTCCAAGTCATGAAATCCAAAGACCTACAACCAAGATTGCTCTATCCAGCAAAACTTTCAATTAGAATGGAAGGACAGATAAGGTGCTTCTCAGATAAGATCAAATTCAAGGAGTTCATCATCACCAAGCCCTTATTATATGAAATGTTAAAGGGACTTATCGAAGAAAAAGAAGTTAAAGAAACATGAACAGTGAAAGGACAACAAACTCACAGTTATTAACAACCACACCTAAAACGAAAGCAAACTAAAAGGACAGCTAGATCAGGAGCAGAAACATAGAAATGAAGATCTCAAGGAGGGTTAGCAACAGGGGAGTGGGAGGAGGAGATGGGGGGAGAAGGTACAGAAAATAAGTAGCATAGACAGTAGATAGAAAATAGATGGGGGGGGGGCAAGAATAGCATGGGAAATATAGAATCTAAAGGACTTGAGACACATGGTCATAAACTAAAGGGGGGTAATGGTGGGGATGGGGGGGTAGGGTGGAGGGGAATGAAGGGGGGAATAGAACAACTGTAACAGCATAATCAATTAAAAAATTAATTAAAAAAAATTTAAAAAGCCAAAGAACTTAAGACACATGGACATGAACTAAAGTGGGGGAATGTGGGTGGGAGGGGATGTGCAGGGTGAAAGAGAATGAAGGGGGGAAATGGGACAACTCTAATAGCATAATCAGTAAAATATATTAAAAAAAGAAAGACAAAGAAATATGACCCAAATGAAAGAACAGATCAAAACTCCAGAGAAAGAGCTAAACAACAAGGAGACAGCCAATCTGACGCAGAATTCAAAACACTGATAATCAAAATGCTCACAGAACTGGCTGAGCTTGGTTAAAAAATGAAGGAACAAATGAAGGCTACCCAAACTGAACTAAAGCTAAATATCCAGGGAACTAACAGTGATGGGAAGGAAACCAGGACTCAAATCAACAATTTGGAACAAAAGGAAAACATAAACATGCAACTGCAACACAATGAAGAAACAGGAATTCAAAAAAAATAATAAATGAGGAGAGGCTTAGGAACCTGTGGGACAACTTTAAACACTCCAATATTTAAATCATAGGGGTATCAGAAGGACAAGGAACAAGAAGTTGCAAATTTATTTGAATAAATAATGAAGGAAAATTTCGTCAATCTGGCAAAGGAAATAGACTTCCAGGAAGTCCAGGAAGCCCAGAGAGTCCCAAAGAGGAACACACCAAGGCACATCATTATTAATTTACCCAAGATTAAAGGTAAGGACAGAATCTTAAAAGCAGCAATTAGGAAAGCACAGTGTTACTTACAAAAAAGTTCCCATAAGACTATCAGCTGATTTCTCAAAAGAAACCTTACAGGCAAGAAGGGGCTGGAAAGGAGTATTTGAAGTCACAAAAGGCAAGGACCTACAGCCAGGATTGCTCTACCCAACAAAGCTATCATTTAGAATGGAAGGGCAGATAAAGTGCTTCCCAGACAAGATCAAGTTAAACGAGTTCATCATCACCAAGTCCTTATTATATGAAATGTTAAAGGGACTTATCTAAGAAATTAAAGATCAAAAACTATGAACAGTAAAATGACAACAAACAATGATCAACAACTGAAAAAAGAAAACATAAACAATGAAAACAAAACTAAGCAAACAACAGAACAGAAACAATATCAGAGAAATGAACAACGCATGAAGGGTTTTCAGTGGGAAAGGGGAAGAAAAGAATGGGGGAAAGGTACAGAGAATAAGAAGCATAACTGGTAAGCATAAAATAGACAGGGAGAGGTTAAAAATGGTATAGGAAACAGGGAATTCAAAGAACTTATATGTACAACCACGGACATGAACTAAGGGAGGGGTATGCTGGAGGGCTGGGGGCTGCAGGGCCGAGGGGGGGATAAAGGGGGAGAAAACTGGGACAACTGTAATAGCATAATCAATAAAATATACTTAAAAATAAAATAAAATTATAAGGTAATTTTTTAAAAACAAAAAATCTAATTAACACATCTGAATTTTTAAACCAAATAAAAATTCTTACATAAAGCCACTTTTTCCAATCCATTATTCTAAGACAGTGCTTCACAACGCTGGCACAACTAATGACACTGGCTGCCCCATGCACTGTAGGGTGTTCGGCAGCATTCTGACATCTACCACTAGATGTCAGTAGCATCCTTATTCAAGTTAGAACCAGCAAAAATGTCTGCACATTGCTAAATGGGACGAAATGAGCCCCAGTTGAGAATCTCTACTCTAAAGGAAGAATAAATGATACAAAATAGATATTTGTTGAATGGAAGTGATTGAATGAACATATGAATCCAATGAGAACAGTTTCTATGTACTTAAAAAGCCCAATCTTAAATTACTAATATTTTAAAATGTTAATCCATTGAAATGAAATGTTTTAATGAAAACTTTTTTCATGGAACTTAGAGGACTATCACAAGTCACTTATTTAATAGCACATTTCCTGGAAAACCTTCCCCTCATCTTCTCCACCCCCTTTCCTTTCAGATGGGGACAACAGAGGAGAGAAGGGAATGGCTGACCTACACCTAGTCTGTGTCCTTCACTTTCAGTCCAGTGCCGTCTTCATTAGACCACAGTAAAGAGTTAACAGGTCACCACTGGCAGTTGCATCTTCCTCTGGGATAAGGACTTAAGGAAGGGTAAGTGACTTAATCAACTATGGAGTGGAAAAGAGCATAAAAGAAAAAATATTTCCCTCTTCTTTTCAAACATTTCATTTTCAACTCTGCTTTTTAAAATACTAATATTCTAATAAACTGTGAGAGTATATAGTACTATAAGAAGTCTAAAATACTCCTTAGTACCTGTAGATTGGGTTTTTTCTTTTATCTTATAATGTAATTCAAACCACTGAAGAAAACCTAAGGAGTACAAAGCAGAGGGGAAAAAGGGCATTCATAAACCCAGCTTCCAAAAATAGTCACATTTCTATTATACTCCCTCCCACTAATTTAGTTCCATGTAGTTAAAACATACTTTGCAGAATTCCATATCCTATTTTTGTTATCATCAAATGTTTCCCATGTCATTCATAAATTTTGTTCAATGTTTAATAACATGTTCCATGTTATGCTGTATCATAACTTTCTTCATCTCTAAAAATTTTTAAGACAGCCTCCAACTAGAGAAATTTTATGTAATACTGGTCTGCATTTAATGATCTTAAAATAAATTCTCAGAGGTGTTGTTTTCATATCAAAGAATATGAATATTGTCAAATTGCTTTGTTATATAGTTTATATTCTTGCTGGAAGCATTTAGAAAGCCCATTTCACCAGAGTGTTACCAACTTCTGAAACTGACTCTTATTAAAATCATATATATCAAATTTATAGATTAAAACATTTGTTTTATTTCCTATTTCATTGATTTAAAATAATGATAAGCCGGGTAGGGCTGGAGAGGTGGGCTGAGATGGGAGTAAAAGACAGAAAACTGTACTTGAACAAGTAAAATAACGAAAAATAAAAAAAATAAAAATAAAATGATAAGCACTATTCAACTATCAGCCATTTCTATTTTTAAATCTGTCCAAAAATAGCCTTTTCCCAATTACATTTTGGGCATTCGAGTTTTTAATTACTTTGCACAAGCATTTTATATAAGGACAATAATCCCTTAAGGAGAAATTTGTTGCAGTAACAAATTTGTAATATATTTGGTAAAAATAGAATAAAATGTTTCCCTTTCAAAAGACCAAGGGAAGGGTTCTCCTCTTTCTATTGGAAAAAAAAAAAAAAACATACTTTTTACTTGCCAAATGTTCTATCCCTTGCCAGGTAAATGAAATCCAGCAAGACTTATGCCTTTCATATAATTAAGATCATACTGAACAAAGGCTTTTAGAATGAAAAGTAACTTCCTCAAACAATGTCCACAATAAAGATGTACTTACACCCCACGATAAACAGTTCAAAACTGTTTGTGGCCTGATAGTAGGTACAGTCCCACGGCACCATCAAAAGATTCTATGATGGTTCAAAGGCAAATTATCTAGAGGGTAATCATCCCATTTTTGTAAATAGAAAGTTTCCAATTTAAATGAAGTCTAAAACTACAAGTTAGGGCTTTGACCATATAAAAGGGTAATATTCAAAGGAGGCTCACAGTTCAGAATTATTCTATTGTTACTAATAGAAAACTCACTGTAATTTTTTTGTAATAATTGAACCTAACAGTGTTATAATTCTAACAAACAGGTAATATCATGGACCTCTGTATTTTGGAATCCCAGTATTAACTGCCTACAAATAAATACTAGCCCACATCTATTATCAATGACCCAGATGTTTCTTTCTAATGAATTGACCATTACATTTTCTAAGCTCTGAAATGGCCAACAGACCATAGAAAGACATTGCTTTAGGCTCCTGCTTGAAACCAGCAGCTTCAGCCAACTGCTGGCCTTGATTCAGGGCCAAAGGAAAACAAAGTCCTTAAATTTCACAAACTACGAGTTTCCCACTAGCCTTCAGTCTAGCTAGCAAATTGAACAGAGTAAAAAGATACGGGTAAGGCAGTGTCTGGTCATTGGAAGAGACTGATTAGAACAACGAACATCATCCACAAAGGCCAAGCACCTCTGACTGGAACGAGTGGTATGGGCCTAAAATGGAAAAAACCAGGTAAGTAAAAAAAAAAAACCAAAAAATAAGCAAACAATTAAAAAAAAAAGCCACACACCAACCCACATAAGAACATACAACCAATTATCTAAGAATATTTAGTTACAATATGTTAGAAAGAAATATCTTTAAATGCTAGAAAATTCAGCATTTAAATTATTCACCAACACTATGTAAAAGAAAAAAAAATTTTAATCAAAAATTTAAAATTGGAGCGCGGGCCTGGGAATCAAGCAACCACGGTTCGATTCCCAGTCAGGGCACATGCCTGGGTTGCAGGCCAGTTCCCAGCAGGGGAACACTAGAGGCACACTAGAGGCAACCATACACTGATATTTCTCTCCCTCTCTCCTTCCCTTCCCCTCTAAAGATAAATAAATAAATAAATCTTTAAAAAAAATTAAAATTGACAAATGAATCAACCTTAATCTGATTCTTACTTCTCCTTATTATGAAAATGTGATACAGACTAATGGTTTTAAACTAGTTTATCTTTTAGCAGAACACTTTCCAAATTTTAATCTTATGTGGAATCTCAAAAACATAAAAATGAAATTACTCTTATTAAATCGGAGACTGAGAGCCTAAGAAACAAATTTAACAGTGATCATGAATTCTCTTCCTATCAAACCTTACTTTGCCATATTCATTGCTCCTATTATTCTACCCGTCTTTCTGCCTTCTAAAACAAGGTTCCCAAGGAACTTGGGCTTAACCTGTGCCTATTTCTGAACTAATTAATTTCTGAACCAAAGAACTGAGAACTCTATGGCAGCCCCTCAGTTTGCAGATAAGAACAGAGGCCCAGAGAGATTACCAGTGCAGGCACAGAACTGGTCAGGAATGAACTGAGACTAGAACCCACATCTCTGGATTTCCAGATAGTATTCTTTTCAATATACCCCCGCCCAGTAAGTCAGAGCCAAGACTATCCAACAGTGCTTGGACGATTACCCTAACTTTATAAATAAAGCAAATGTATACACCTTAGTCGTGTATACACCTTAGTCATGTATACACAAACTACCTGTTGGGCGGCACCATCTGTTGCCAGCATTCTGCGTTCCTTCAGCTGCCTATGTAGTAAGGCTTCCACTCCATAGCGCTGACGATACCTCCGAAGACATTTGAGACGCTTTAAGTTCTCTCGTTCTTTGGCCAAAAGTCCCTCTGGGCCAGTCAGGAGACTACTACCTGGAGAGACACAACAGTCAAGATGTTATCTGCCACGCAACCAATTAAGGGCTCATCGCCAAAATAATAAGAAGTAAAAAGAAAAATCTTGGGCCATAAGATAGGCAGTTTCATCAAAAGCAAACTCTCCTCCACTAGACACCAACACAGAGATATAACTCTAACTACTACCCACATGCAGGTACACGTCAGACCTACAACAGGTTGTTGGAACTAGCATAAAACTCACCTAGAGCTTCATGTTCCACTTTGCGATTATGTAAGTAACGCCGCTTCTTTTCTTTGAGCAGATGCTGAAGTCGTTTAAACTGATCAATGTATAAAGACTGTAATCGAATTAGTTTCTCACGCATGATCAGGGCCACTTCTTCAGCTGTGTAGACACCAGCATGTCTGGAATAAACAGAAAATTCAGCAAAGCATAAGAAAACACAGTAATAAAACTCAAGCTTAAAAAAGAGAAAAGGGTAACTATTAGACATTTTTTTTTTTTTTTTTTTTTAGAGCTGGGGAGGGAGAGAGAAAGAGGGAGGGAAACATCAATGTGTGGTTGCCTCTTGGGCATCCCCTACTGGGGAACCTGCCCAGCAACCCATGCATGTGCCCTGACTGGGAATTGAACCCGCAATCCTTTGGTTTGCGGGCCGGCACTCGATCCACTGAGCCACACCAGCCAGGGCTAGACATTATTTAATAAGCAATCAACTGCTGAGGCAATCACCTTATCAAAAACCTTTTCACACATCTTACCAAACTGTTATTTTAAAAAATCTCCAAGAATGAACATTAATGAATGTATGATCTCTAAATATAAGGAAGGGAAGATGTTTCATTATTTTTCCCAGTTATTTGAATTATGTTTAAAAAGAAGTAAAGCTATAGTACACTCAAAATTTTTACCATCTATATTTCATCTAATACAGAAAAATCACTTAACTCTCAGGCACAACCTAAAAGTGTTCAATTTATTGTAGCATGTATCTTAACATATTTTAATTAAAGTACAAAAGATTAAAAGATTATACCATCTAGTTTAAAAACACGCCCCTATTAAAAAATATATATTCCTATATTGGAGCTTCCCTATGTGGGCCCTCAAACACTGGCCACAGTGGCTTGGCTAAGGCTAATCACTGTCCTCAGCTCATTTTCTTGATAACATTCTCAAAATACAGTACCCTGGGTTAAATCATTATCAAAACTCTTAGATGATCCACATCAACTTTATTAAATTTTGCTGCCAATTATAAGTTAATAGATTTTTTTAAAAAAGCTATTCCCCCAAAACCAAATCCCTTTATTCCAACAGTCACAAATATAAATCAAGGTTTTCTGTTGTTGTTGTTTTTTTAATCCTCACCTGAGGATACGTTTATTGATTTGACAGGGAGAAGGAAACATCAATGTAAGAGAGAAACATCAATCGAGTGCCTCCTGTTCGTGCCCCAACAAGGGATTGAACCTGCAAACCTAGGTGTATGTCCCAACTAGCAATTGAACCCATAATATTTTAGTGCACAGGATGTCACTCCAACTAAGCCGCCCAGCCAGGGCAATATAAGTCAAGGTTTTAATGTCAGAATTCATCTTCAAGAAATACACTTCTAGTCAAGATGGAGCTGGTAAATGTGATACTCAGAATCTCCCACGAGCACATCAAAACTACAACTAAACTACAGAACCACCATCATTCTGAACCACCTAAAATCTAGCTAACAAAGTCTTCCAACAAAGGATATAAAGAAGCCACACAGAAGCCCTCACCAGGTAGCTCACGTTGGTCAGAGCATCGTCCCAATACGCCAAGTTGCAGGTTTGATCCTGGGTCAAAATTGTCTCAGAGGTTCCTAAGCCTCTCATTTTTTTTGAATTCTTTTTTTTTTTAAAGATTTTATTTATTTATCTTTAGAGGGGAAGGGAAGGAGAAAGAGAGGGAGAGAAACATCAGTGTATGGTTGCCTCTCAGGTGTCCCCCACTGGGACCTGGCCTGCAACATAAGCACGTGCCCTGACTGGGAATCGAACCACGATCCTTTGGTTCACAGGCCAGCGCTCAATCCACCGAGCTACACCAGCCAGGGCTTTTTTTGAATTCTTGTTTCTTGTTTCGATCCTGGGTCAAGGCACATACAGAAATCAACCAATGAATGCCTAAATAAAAAATAAGTGGAAAAACAAATCGATATTTCTCTCTCTTTAAAAATTAGGCCTGGCTGGTGTGGCTCAGTGGACTGAGTGCTGGCCTGCAAACCAAAGGGTCACTGGTTCGATTCCCAGTCAAGGGCACATGCCTGGGCTGCAGGCCGGGTCCCCACTAGGGAAGTGTGCAAAAGGCAACCACACATTGATGCTTCTCTCCCTCTCTCCTTCCCTTCCTCTCTCTAAAAATAAATAAATATTTTTTTAAAGAAATCAATCAACAGCCCTGGCTGGTATAGCTCAGCAAATTGAGCACAGGCTGCGAAATAAAGGGTTGCCAGTTCTATTGCCAGGCACATGCCTCAGTTTCGGGCCAGGTCCCCAGTGGGGACCACGTGAGAGGCAACCACACATTGATGTTTCTCTCCCTCTCTTTCTCCTTCCCTTCCCCTCTAAAAATAAAATAATAAAACTTAAAAAAAATAAAACGTAAAAAAAAAAAATCAATCAATAAAAAAATTTAAAGACATCGCATAGAGACTAGTAGAGGGGGTAAAGACGCTGAACAGGCTAGTCCCAAACAAAAATGCGGCAGTCAAAAATCAGGAGGGATAGCTTGGCTTTGGAGGTCCCCCTAAGGAGTGAAGGCCCCAGGTGCATACCACATCCCCCAGCTCCAGGTGACCCAGAGCTGGGAAGAGAAGTCCCCAAACCTTCTGGGGTAGCAATACTTATACCAGACAAAATAGACTTAAAAAGGCTGTAACAAGAAATGAAGAAGGACAGAGCAATTCCACTTCTGGGTATTTAACTGAAGAAACCCCAAACACTAAATCATGTATATAAAAGATTTTAGCTGGGTGGGTGGGCTGGGATGGGAGTAAAAGACAGAAAACTGTACCTGAACAATAATTAAAATAAAAAATTTTAAAAAGACTATTTAAAAAAAGGTTTTTGTACACACAAACATACACACATTTCCGTATGTTCACTGCAGCACTGTTTTACAATAGCCAAGATGTGAAACAACCAAAGTGTCCATCAACAGACGAATGGGTAAAGTAACAGTGCATAACAATGAAACATGACTCAGCTATAAAAAACAAATCTTGCCATTTGCAACATGGATTGACTTATAAGAGGTTACTGTGCTGAGTAAAGTCAAGTCACACAGAGAAAGAAAAATGCTGTATGATTTAACTTGTATGCGGTATTTAAAAATCAAAATAAACAAACAAGCAGAACAGAAACAGACAGATGCACAGTACCTTCTGATGACTGTCAGATAGGAAGGGGGATGGGCGAAAAAGGTAAAGGGATTAAGTACAAATTGACACATGAACAAAACCAAAAGGGAGGGTGGAAGCAAGGGAGGGAGGTGGGCTTATAGGGGGTGAGGAGAAAATACAGACAATGTAATTAAACAATAATTTAAGTTTAAAAAAAAACTACAAATTGGTAGTTACTGAATAGTCACAGGGATGTAAAGCACAGCGTTAGGAATAGAGTCAGTAATACTGTGATAAGTATGTATGGTGTCAGATGGGTACTAGATTTATCAGGGTGATCACTTTGTAAGTTTTATATATAAATGTCTAATCGCTGCATTGTATGCTTAAAACTAAGGCAATATTGTACATCAACTGTAATCAAAAACTAAAATTTTGTTTTAAAAAGGAGTCCCCTTATATTCCATTAAATAGTGTCTCTTACTGAAAGTCATTCTCCCAAATTTCTTTGTTTTGGTTACAATGAAGATGCAAAACCTGAAATGACCTTTACCAAAACAAGTTCTGGTTGCTTGCAAAAGTCATATGATAAAATGTTTTTTGTTTTTTTTTTTAAGTAAAAGAAGCCCTGGCATGTGTGGCGCAGTGGACTGAGTGCAGGCCTGCGAACCAAATGATCACCAGTTCAATTCATAATTGGGGCACATGCCTGGTTGTGGGGTGGGTCCCTAGGACTAGTGAGAGGCAACCACACATTGCTGTTTCTCTCCCTTTCTTTCTCCCTCCCTTCCCTTCTCTCTAGAATAAATAAAATCTTTTTAAAAAGTGAAAGAAATATTTAACAATTACTCTTAAGCTAAAACTTCACCAGTATTGGATGTTTCTATAAATAAGCTTTTAAAGATCATTTTACAAACCAATTAAGTAAATGGTCACGTTGAAGGAAATCACATATAGTAACTCCAGTTAGAATACATCTCTAATGACATCATCGTAAATACAAATAATACCCTTTCTGAAACAAGCAAGTGAATATATGCTGTAAATCGTTACTGATACAAAAAGTGGCCTCAGTTATGACCAACACTGGCACCAAAGATGAACATTTTTGGTTAAAAGAATTTCATTAAACCCTTGTATTAAATATAACAAGGCAGTAATATGTAACCATGTAAGTACGAACAGACATTTAACTCTTACATTCCTAAAGATGCAAACATTTTTTTAAATAATCTCAACTAAGAGAATTAAAGAAAGCCTTGTATTTCACTGCTTAATAACTGCATGTATTTAAGGTTTTATTTTTCCCCTTTGGATGTTCCCTTTAGGAGGAACTGACATCAAGTACCTAGCCATTTTAATATTTATACATCTCATAATAACTTAACTGGTATTTGGTTTATACAGCAGTATACTGTAAGTTAAGTTAGTGTGAGTATGGCCCCCAAAGACGAATCTTCCCTAAGTTACTAACAAAATCAAGTTTCCAGACATTCCAAGCTGAGTGTGTACCACACCAGCAGTCACTTTGTGACCCCTCAAAGCAGCAAGTTTGGCATTTCTAGACGCACAATGAAAAAAAAATTTTAAATGCACTTGGCATAAAGTTACTACTGTGAGAGAATCTTGCCACAAACCAAATATTCCTTCTCAAACTACTTAGCTGACTGCTCACAAAAGTACTTCCTGAACTGCTGACTACAGATTACTCAAAAGACAGAGATGAAATTACTCAGAAAATGTAACCCTAAATGACTTCTTTTAAACCTCAGAGTCTAAGGTAATGAAGAAAACTCTAAAAAACTGAAGTTCAGTACAAGCTAATCTAGAAATTCATACCTCTCCCACTATTGACATACTTTTACCTAAACTGACAGTTTAGTGTTCAGAGACAGAAGTCAGAAAGGAAGAAAAAAAAAAACCCTAAACTAAACCCAAACCATGAGACAGAGAAATAGGAGACTTTGGAGTAAAAATGTTTTTATGCTTCTGCAACTCCTAAGATGATCATGGGTTATGTAAAGAGAGGAACCTTGGGAAGATATAATTAGGCTGATCACTCACTTCCTGGTTTCTAAATCACTTTGTCTTTCTTAGGCATGAAACCAAAGGAAACTCTTGGCACATCTTTTTATTTTTCTTTAAAAAAAAACCATAAAATGTAACTCTGTAAAAATGTAGTTATTCAAATAAAATCACTTTATTATTCCTGGGGTTTAAGCCAAGAACGCATTCACATAGATTTTCTCTTCTCGCCCTGGCCAGGTGGCTCAGCTGGTTGGAGCACTGGTCATCCCATTCACTAAAAGAATGAAGGTTCAATTCCCAGTCAGGGCACATACCTAAGTTGTGGGTTCAGTCCCAGTGTGGGTACCTAGGGGAGGCAAGTGATTGACGTTTCTCTCTCTCTTAAAAAAAAAAAAAAGTCCTCTTATCTAACTGATGTAAGCATTTCTCAACCCACCTCCCACTCGCATGTCTAAGAAATTTTCTATTTTCTCCCCTATACTTTCTCAGGTATAAAATCTGACATCCATAATTTTCCCAAATTACAAGATTTCTAAAAAAGAATCAAATCCTGCCTTGAAGCAAGATGGTAATAATTCATACTTTAATTTAGAGAAGCTGTTTCTGCTCACAAATAGCTGTCTTCAAACCTCTTAGGTTATTAATCTTTTAGTAGTATGCAACACTACATTCCACATACTAACTACATAAAATATTTAGAAGCCTTATGTGGAATTACAACTTACTTTAAGGGATCTTCTTGATCACTGTCTATGCTATCAGCTTCACTGTCAGGGTCACCTCTCCATGTCTGATCCACAGTAATGGGTTCCTGCTCCCCATCACTCCAGCTGTCTTCATCTGAGGCAAGGAAGGGAGAGCAGCCATTAAGACTTCCCACCTCTGTAACTCCACCACACAAAACTAGATGACTTAACACATCAACCCAAATCTTAAAATTAAGTGAGTTAACCATGCCCTCAAAAGGACAGGAAGTCCAACTCAAAACTCTTTCCTGAAATTACCTTACCTAGCAAAGATAAGTATAAGAACAGCAATGAAAAAAATAATCATAAACTCAGGAACATAAACCTAAGCAAACACTACTTCAGAATTGGTGAACACAGCAATCCTAGAATCTCACCAAATTGATAATGAATTATTGTTATCAAGTACTATATACATTCAAGGTACTGTGCTAAACCAAAATAAGTTTGTTACCTTTCTTCCTCCTTTTTCATTCTAGAAGATCCTTACCCAGAATTCGGCTGGCTTCACTGCGACTGCTTTCTGGCGTCTGAGACCCCAACTCCGTCTTAGCATATGAGCTCAGCTGGCACAAGAGAGTTTCACCCATAGGCCCTGGATTGTTCTTTTTCATTTGAGCATGAAGTGCCAGAGCATTTCTACGGGCATGTTCAGCACAGAAGGACACCCTATGGAGACAAAATATTAACATTTTATACTCAAGATTCTTTCTTGAGAAAGTTCAATGATTTTCACATTCAGTGATCTTTAGATCATTTTCAGGAAATCAAAATGACCATTATCTTTATTTATAAATACTTAAAAGTCCAGTGAGGCAGAGTAATTTACTGGCCCAAGGTCAGCTCAACTATTTGGTTTTACTAAAGGAAAATACTCGTAGCCTAATCTAATGTACTACCCAGCAAACAAAAATTCCAACTATAAAAATGATGACACCTCACAACACTCAAAGAGATCCACTTTCATCTTTCAAAACTGGTTCTGGAAGGAAACTCTACATTTTACTTCAATATCAATACAGAGCAGGTAATACATGATGTCACACACAATTTTAAAATCAAAAGGGTATACACAGAATTATCTAGACAAGTTATGTTCCCGTGTGGATCTTTGTACATAATGAAAGCCATGAAGCCTCTCCCAGAAAAATGAACATTTTGTGTATTATTTAACAAGGTTCAGAGATGGCCTTGCAAGGGACACCAGAGTTAAGAAAAATCTAGAATATCCCTTTATTTTAAAGATAAGGGAACGATCCAAAGGGATGATCTAAGAGACCCAACTGTAAGTCATGTCCTTCCACTTTTCACCGTTTTAATTTCTTTTACTTTCCAAGGATATATTCATAATCCCAATTTTACATGCAGGTAAGCTAAAAACTCGGTAGCTACACCCAAGAGCACAGCATACCCCATTCCACTTTCACTTTAAAATGACAAATACAAACAAGAAATATCTACACATATATACCCATCTTTCTTCTCAGGCTTTGGGGCAGCACAAGGGCATCTCTTTCCATTCTTCGTCGAAATATAACTACATTGCTTGAAGGGTGCATTCTTGTCTTCAAGGATATGCTTAATGCAAAACTCCTGCCCCTCCAGACGAGGTAGCGAGCATGGACGATGAGTGAATGAACAAGAGAGGGGCTCCTGAGACCTGGGTACTGGGGTGATCCTCCCCCTATTGGTCGGCAAGACGTGGATCCGAATCCTGTTCATATCAAAACCTGCAGGATAACACAAAAGATCAAAAAGCCCTCACCCGGGCCAAAAATGCATGCCTCCTCCACAATACCCAGGCAGGCTGCGGGCAGTTTCTGAAGGACAGAGATTAAGTCCCTCTCCGTATTCCCCCTTGGCCCAGGTCTCCCAGGCATTAGGGTTTTTGCCTCACCTCCACTTACCCCTCCAGGCCACCCGCCCACCCCGAACACCAACCACCGCGTCGCAAGGACTCCCACTGAAGCAAACGAGCAGGAAGCGTCAGCGCCAGCCCCACGCTACAGCAGCAACGCCGCAGAGCTGCGACTCGCCGCCGCCGCCGCCTCCCTGCGCGCCGCCTTTGTCCCGGCCCGCCTCAGAGCTCACTGCTGAGCCTAGCCGTTCCTCAGCTGCCCGTGCAAGCGCCATTTTGTACTTAGTCTCTGGGCACCAGAGAATCTGGATCCTACGAGCCCATAGGAGAGAGCCCCCGATGCTGACTGAGGCAGAGTAGCAGCCCGCTGAGGGCGAAAGTGGTGAAGCAGCATGCCTCACAGCAGAGACGAAAACCAAGCACAGACACCTTCTTACCCGTGCAGCCTAGCTGCGCCACGCCGCTCACCCTTACTGGGGCCGATAGCAGCGTCTAACTCCACCAAGCTCCTTTCCGGGCTCCCAACCGCCGATTGGCTACAGCGTTCGCGGGGGCCCGCCACCATTGGCTGAGGTCAACTACCTATCAAGCCTGGGGGCAGGGCCCTGAGAAAATGTGCGGCTGGGATAGGTGAAATGACCTATCCGTCTCCCAGAGACTCCGCCCCAGGCAGAGGGAGGTGGCCCGAGCGCGGGGTATGGGGTATTTCCTCCTCACAGCGTGGCTGGTTTGTAGAATGCCGTTAGGCGATCTGCGGGATTTGCGCGTAGCTTTCTCAGCACACCTACACCACCGGTTTAAAAAAAAAAAAAAATCAGACGTTTGACACTGTCTATACAGGAAAAGACCTTAGTTTTCTTTTGTGAGCAGTTCATTTACTGAAACATTTTTCTGAGTTTTAACTAAGTGTGGAAATTACATATGTATGTAAACATTTATTTTCCAAACAATTTTAAGAGGTAAAGGCTATTAATCTCCATTTTACAGATATCTGAGGAAAAGAATGGGCTAACATGTAGTAAATGGAGGAAAGAGGCAAATTTGAACCCAGCCCTCATTCTTTATCCCTTTTCGCCTCTCATCATAAAGAGCATTGTACTGACAATAATGGAATATGAGTTGTGGTTTATGCCGATTCTCTAAAATTCTCAACAATACCATGCTAAATAATGTAAATGGCAGGCACGATCCCAATTTTATCATCTTTTGAGAGGTTTTCTTGTTAAAAGAACCTCTCTTTTTCATCTCTTGTAGAAATGAACCAACACTTTTCCCCCATAACCTTTCTGGCTCTTTTTTGCACTGCAACCTTCTCAAGCACCCTTATCTGTGTTTTCACTTAAGAGACTTCTCCAATATTGATGAGGAGGTGAGCATAAAGAATTCACAACACTCAAGAACAGCAGTCAGTTTAGCCACAAGAAATGATTATAACAGTAGGCAAGTGGTGGGACACTTTTGGAAAAGTGCTGTTTTCCAAAGATTAGAGTGGCCTTAGGCCTTTTCCTGAAATTTACTCATTTAACAAATTATTTACTGAGCACCTAGGTGCCAGACACTGGAGATACAGAAAGAGCAAGAAAGATAATAACCCTGCTTTTTTTTTTGGAGTAAACATTCTACAGCAGTTTGGAGTTGTGGACACAGTACAAACATAATAGCAACTATGATTTATATATATAAGCAAACACTCCAATCCTCAGAGGGGTACAAAGAATATATTTGTTACAAATACCCTGACAGGGGTGTCCCACCCATGGGCTGCATGTGGCCCAGGATGAGTATGAATGCAGCCCAACAGAAAATTGTAAATTTACTTAAAACCTTGGGTTTGGGTTTTTTGTTGTTGTTTTTTTTTTGCTCATCAGTCTTTGTGTTTGTGTATTTAATGTGTGGCCCAAGACAACTCTTCTTCCATTGTAGCCCAGAGATGTCAAAAGATTGGACACCTCAAAACTAGCCAGAGGTAGTTACATTACAGAAAATCCTGGAATCAGAATCTGCAATAAAATATGGTAATATCAAAAAAGAGTATTAAAACTACTATAGGGAGCAATGGAAAGAGCCATTAAGAATGAGATAAGGATGCAACAAAGATTTTGTTAGAGGCTCTTCTGAAGGTCTTAGTTTGAAAAAAAGATCCTCTTGCTAAGCCTAAAACAAACAAAACATTGCTATTTAGAACCACTTTATTCTAAGTTGGGAGGGACCAGGTATTATTGAAGGGTCAAGATGTTAGCAAATTTTGTGTTGTGTAGCAAAGTAGATGACCATTTTTAATGTACTGAACACTTTGTTAGCTGTTAAATAGGGTAAAGTGAACCTGAGTGAGGGTGTTTGTAAATAGAGGTTGGGAAAGATGAATTCTGAAGAACATAAAATTTGGAGCTTTGGGGGCTAATTCTAGAAATTATGTGTGTGTGCATGTGCGTACAAGAGCGAGTGAGGGGGGTGAGGGGGGGAGAGAATAAATGAATGCCAAACTCTTAGCTCTTTCTGTAGTCATCCTCATGTCAGTATGACAACCCCATCCTTCCAGCTGGTCAGGCCAAACACTGGGAGTCATCCTTGACTTCTTTTTCTTCTAACCTTATAACAGATCCTACTGGCTCCAACTTCAAGATACATATATGTAACTTCTCTTCAGCACTCCCACCCTGGTCCAAGATACTCTTAACCTCTCGTCTTAATTATTGTGAGCCTCTTTAACCTTGACTCCTACAATCCACTTTCAACACAAGCCCAAATGAACATTTTAAAACTTAAGTTAGAGCAAGCATGTCACTTCTCTGCACAAAACCTTAAAATGGTGCCCTATTTCAGTCTTTATAATGGCTTACAAGGCCCTACAGTATCTCTAGCCTGTTCTTTCTCCTGTCACCACATATCCTACTCCTCTCATTTATTTCCATACTAGCTACACAGGTCTTCTTGCTATGGTTACACCTCACAACCTTCGCACTTGTTTCCTGGAATGATCTTAACCCAACTATTCCTTGCTTGCTTTCTCAGCTCTTTCAGGTCTTTGCTGAAATTTCATGAGGCCTTTCTCCCTAGCCATCTTATTTCCAATTTCAACAACTCTGCTCACCTGCACACACACACAATCCCACCCCATCTTCCACACTTTACATTCTGCAAAGTACTTATTACCTAACAGTTTTACTTGTCTCCCTATAACTAGAATGTAGGTTCTACGACAGGATGCTTGTTTTGTTTACCAACATATTCTCATCGGTAATCAGCATAATACTTAGTAGTTACTATTTTCTTGTGAAGGAATAAATGGAAGGCAACAAAATGCCTGAAAGTACTTTTCAGAAAAGATGTATCTAGTATAGCAGGCCCTTAATTGACTTCTTTGCGTTCAACATCGTTTCAATGCTGAGAGGGAAAAAAAAAGATCACTTCCCCACAGGGACCACTGTGTGTGGCGTTTGCATGTTCTCCCAAAGTCTGTGTGGGTTTTCTCCAGGTGGTCAGTCTTATCTAAATTGACCCATCCTGGCACTGGCTGGGTAACTCGGTTGGTTAGAGCATTATCCCAATACACCAAGACTGTGGGTTCATTTCCCATGAGAGCATATACAAGAATAAACTAATGTATGCATAAGTAGAACAACAAATCGTTGTTTCTCTCCCCCTAAAAATCAATAGTTTTTTAAAATTTGATTTATTTTTAGAGAGGGGAAGGGAGGGAGAGAGGGAGAGGAACATGTGCCTCCCACTGGAGACCTGGCCTGCAACCCAGGTATGTACCCTCGACTGGGAATTGAACCAGCAACGCTTTGATTCAAAGGCTGGCACTCAATCTACTGAGCTACACCAGCCAGGGCAAAATTATGAATCATGCTGACATTGCTCACTAGATAAGCAGTACATACTGCTAGCATCTGTGTGAGCCATGTATTTTTTGTGTGCATGTGGCAGTTACTCTTCCATGTAGTCACACAACATTAAATGAGGGTTTTTTCCCACTCTGACCACATGGTATCTTTAGACTTTCAGGTTCACTGTAGTAACTAAATCGTAAGTCTTTCCAATGGACTCAGTTCCCACAGGGCCTTGTGCTGTAAGAAGGTACATGTCATCAAAACTAAAACAAAGCTATAATCATATCAATAAAATGACAGTTAAAGACTAAGCTGACAACTCAGTATGCAAAAACAGTAATAATCAGATAAGTTTTGTAATGAACATTTATTGATGGGTGGATAAATACAGATTGAGAAACATACTTGACAGCAATATATCAAACTGATAGCCAGACTATAAAATGTATACAACATTCTTTTTTTAATTTAAAAAAATTTTTAAATTTTTTACAAAGAGCCCTTACTGTAATGGTCACTTACATCCTACCATTCACATAACAGCAGTAGATATACCAGGGGTAGCATTCAGAACTGAGATGCCCCAAGGAGGACAGAGGCCACAGCAGAGTACTGTGCTGAGAAAAGACTCAAGAGCAATACAAAGAAAACAGACAAAAATATCACCACAAAATTGCACCTGAGTGACAGACTGGTAAAGTGTTTTGCTTTTTTTCTCTTCCTTCTTTTGCTCTTTGGTCTGATAAGAAACGGACAATTTTAGGTGTGTGGAGTAAGGTGGGGAAAAGGTCAGTTTCAAATCCAGAAACCTAGGTTAACATCAAGTTAAGCTGCTGCATTCTTTTCTTTGGGTGCTTAACCCAGCCAGCACCTCCACCTTGTGATCAACCACTAATCAGATCCTCAGCTTTCCTGTGAACACTTCCTGATAATCTGATGGATACACACTTGCTCTGGCTTCAATTAGCATGCTGTCAAGCATCCCTCTCCACACTTAACACGACAACAGAAAACCCAAGAGTCTTTCTCTTTTCATTCAACCATGAATACACACTCAAAGGGAAAGAGTAGACACTGCTTTATAGTAAACATTCTTTTTCTTTTCCTCCCTTTTCCAATGCCAAGTTCATATTAAAATCTTTAGAAACATTAAAATGGAAGGGTCTCCCACTAAAAAATAATTCTCATTCTAAACCATTCTATCAGTAAGATTACAGTACCATGTTTGTTTCAAACTCACATCCAGAGGGATAAGATAAAATAAAACTTGACAGAGTGATACCACATGAACGTTTAACCCATCAGGAGCAAATATTCCGTTAAAAGCTAGGTGTTAACAAGCAGCAAGACAAGAAATTTGGGGAGGTATCAAAGTCAATGAAGGCCTAATGGGATTGCAGAGGGCTTATTTCTCACCCCGTAAAGGGTTGCATAGACTGCTTCAATTCTCCCAAACCCAAGAATATTTTGAAGTTGTATTCCAACTTCAAGGTATTCTCAAATCTCCCTTTTCCTAGTATTAATACTAGGAAAATTTCCTAGTATTAATACTAGGAATTTGATGAGTTCTTTTGATAACTAATACTAGGAATTTCCTAGTATTAGTTATCAAAATAACTCATCAACAAAAGAACTGTGTTAAAAAAAGCAATAATTTCCCAAGTTCCCACAGTTCTCATGTTTCTGTGGGAAACACAGATATGTTTAAAATCCCACCATACTGGGATAAGACCCCCTCTAATTGCCTTTGTCCAAGAAGCAAGATATGAGGGGAATTTAGGTAGCAGAGGCTTAAAGAAATCCAGCACTAATGTTACCATGATTTTATCTCTGTATCCTAATCCACTGCAGTTTCCAACTGGAGAATTTAAAATTTTCTATCAGCACAGGTGAAGCCAATACTACAGAACTAAGAAAAGAATATATTAAATCAAAAACACTAAAATCATTAAAAAGAAAAAAAAAGAAGCTGAGGGCCTCAGATATGGAAACACAATGATTCATAAGTGGAAAGACTAAACTAATTCCTATGTATTTTCTAAACCCAAAAAGCAAAACTGATACTTCAGAAGACCAATTCAGCTTTAGATTAATGCTTCATTAGAGTTCAGCTAAGAGCAACACAGGTATTGATTAAAAGCCCTAAGGACAGTCCACAGGTATGTTTCTGCCAACATGAGATTCAAACACAGTTTACAATCAGATTTCCAGAACTTGAGGCTTCAGGCCCACTTATCACTACTTATCCTCAATAGTTCAGGTTAAAAAGAGGAGGGGAAAACACCAAGTTTACTAGGCTAACTTTGGATTCATAAACCCCATTTCTCACCCTTTGAAGGTATGAGGATAGAGAAGACACAGTTTAGAAACTGCACACCCCTTCAACTAAGTTTGTGCGAATTTGGACAATATACATGCTAGCTGACAGGCACAACTGCTCCCCAGTGACAATGCAACAGCTTCATGCAGAGCCCATAAGGTAGTTCAGAACCTATACACAGATCTAAAAGCAGACATGGTAGGTATCTTAAGACAGTATCAGGAGGCATTAATATAGAAAAGTCTCTTAACTGATCTATACCAGCTGTGATCTAGTGTGCATAGGCCAGACTACACAACATAAAGCAGCTCTTAGGCTCTAGGCTCCAGTAAGCACATTTTTCTAGTCCACTCCTGACAAAGTTCTAAGGAACTAACTACACTGCCATAGAGCACCGCTAAAGAAGCCAAGCAGATGCGTATGTCTCTGTGGTGAGGGAGTGCGTGTAACTAGAAAATACGCGACACTTGATGAGAAAAATCAAAAGCTGAAAAGACATTTTCATAATCAAATCAGTGATCAATTCTACAAAAATACAGATGCAAACTAAATAACCTTCTGGGAAGGTCAGGAAGGAAGGCAGACTCCACTAAACAAAATCTAAAGAAATAGGAAGCCTATATTTAGTAAAATATCACACATCTACTGATTAGCACAAGACAAACTATCAGGGAGAAAGAAGAAAATGTCATCTATAAAAGTGAAAGTGACATTCCAAGTAAAAATTATACTAGTTTACAGGTTGGCAGAGAGCTCATTTTATACAGCAATGGCAGGCACTCAAGACAGTTCAAATATGCAAAGATGATGGACACTAATTCACCTCTGATTAGGTTTACTACACTAATTCCTTCCCGTGTGAGGCCAGTGCATCATTAATTCCAATTGCTTCAGTGTTCTCCCCAAACTGTTCCTGACAAGCAGCAGCACACGTACAACTCCCATTTCCCTATGACTTCCAATAAAAATTTCAATTTGTCCAGAAAGAATATTTGGTGTGAAGTGAACAGCATTAAAAAGATACATTCGAACTGCATCATACTTCCACAGCAAAAATTGCCATGAAGACCAAAGAATATCATATCAAATGATCTGTGGCTAGGTGGCGTTCTCAGTTAGGTAAATTGGTTTGTAAGAATTCTTCTAGCCCCTTAAAAAATTTCTGTTCTCAACAAAAATATTCACTCCTAAAATCTGGGATAATCAAGCACCCATAAGAAAAGACACCTGATCCATTTTTTAAAAGGATTCTTAGAAATTTGAAGAACCTCTGCCTATCAGCTAAAGCCACCCAAAATGGACAATCCGACATAATAGTATATGTGGGCTAGGACTGCTCACTCTCATGGCTCATGGCACCAGTACTATCAAATTCACAAGCTCTAATCTCTGAAGATATGTAGGCTGCAAAAACTGAGGGTGCAGCTGTTTCTCTTCAGCTATACAGATAAAAAAAACAAGTCTCACATTTATAATATAAAATACATTGTCCCCAAAATTCCAAGTCACAATTTCATTGTTTTCAGGATCCTCTAGCTCCATGGCTTCTCCCAGAACTATTCCCACACATGGTCTGGGCTTTCACAATTATGATGTATAGCACATACCTCTTCCCATCAGAGACCCTGAGACTGCTCTCACTTGAACACTTCCCCAAGGCCCAACTTGAAAAAAGACACATCCAATTCTGTACGGCAGAAACTAGCCTTGCTCTACAAACCTTCCTCAATCACACCTCTATTCTGAATCAAAAGAAACAGAGGATAAAAAGGAAGTTTTCTAGTGGAGTCCAAAATCAGGCCATTGGCTACACTTGCCCAAACTAGAATTTAGAAGGCTACCACTCAATTGCAACATAAAGAAAGGGGAAAATATCAAGAAGAATACATGCTTCTTCCTTCATGTTCTAAAGGCCACACTGTATTCTCACTAGTAGACTGTTGGGGAAGTAGAAATGATGAGGGACAGGGAGGGAAAGAAAAAACATGATATTTAAACACACACACTCAAAACCACACATACCCATACTTACATACACTTAAAGGTCTCAACACTTCAAGTGGCCAGGGACTATCTCAGAACTCATGGCCAAAAGCCTACCCTCCCATCCCTCCTACACACCCTCTGCCCTCCAATCCCACCCCTAGGACTCATTGCTGTGTATCCCATACACACAACAAAATCCCTATCCCTTCCCCAATTATATAAAAAACTAAACAGATAACTTACTTTCTTTAAATTATTTTTTAAAGTCTCTTAAAAGATGTTGATGTTTAAATACTTCCTCTCTTCTGACACACTGAACACCAAAAGGATCCACAACTGTTTGACATAACAAACCCTCCATGTTTTAGTCCTGGCAAGAAGAGGGAGAATATCAACTCTAAACAACCTAAGTTGGAGGTGGAGAGGCCAAGAATAGAGAAAGTATTCTTAATCTTTCACAGCTTCAACACATTCTCAGCTTTCTAATACCATAAAATAGTTAAATTTCAGAGGCAGCAGGTACAATAACCGAGGCCCTCTACCATCCTCCCACCTATGTCTCAATATTAATTTATTCCCTAGTCCAAGAAGGGAGACATGTTTCATTAGGGAAGTAATTTTCTTAGTCCAGAATCAGTAGTTAAAAAAACAAAAGTATGTTTTTAAAGAAGTTTCTTTTCTCCTCTTCTTTTTCTTTATTACTTAGGAAGGGGTGGAAGTGGTGGAGGAGGTTCTGAAGGTAGAGGTGGTGGTCGGGGTTTGTCTGTATTGCCAGATCTGGAGGACATTCCTCCACTAGCCCGTGGATTCAGGTATTCACCATAAGAATGAACAAATTCAAATGGAGGGGGTGGAGTGGGCTGAACACCCTGGGCAATGAGGAGGGAGTGAAGCATATTCACAGTATCTTGATGGTCTATTGTCTGGGTTGTGTTGTGACCATTAGCCCCAGTGGGGCCTTTATCCAGTTTCATATGAGGAACTCGAGTTTTACAGCTAGGCTGTGAATAATGAAGGCCACTTGTGTCTGAGCTATGCCCTGGCAACTGGGCCATTGTAGGAAGAGGAGGGTAGGAGAAATTTATGGAAGAGGATTTAGTACTTTTGGCAATCTTGGCTGGATGATCAAACACGGCCCCTCCAGTTTCTTCAGGGGGACCCCTTTTACGAGCAGAACTGGAAGAGGAGAAAGAACTAGACAAGCTATAGGTTTTGTGTGCTAAGGAGCTTGTCTGGCTACTATGTTTTGGATCACCTGGCCGTTTGTTCCCAGTACCAGCTGGAAGCTGTGAGTGAGAGTGCTTGTGTGAGTGGTGATTATGATGATGATGATGATTAGATGGGTGAGTCTTGTGCTTTTCTTTGTGCTCTCGGCTCTTTGTGATACTGTCATCCACAGAATTGTGCTTGTCAGTTGCAGCATGGACTTTAATGCGCATTTTTATCTCCTCTGGTTTTGAAGAGGCAGCTTTATCCCCACTTGCCACTGGAATTCTCATTTTGAGGGCTGTTTTCTCAGACTTTTCCAGAAAAGGCCGCTCAGAATTTTCTGAGCCCTCTATGGGCATTTTCAAAATGACTGAAGAATGGCTATCATGTTGAGACAGGAGATTCTGGGCAGCATATGCATACTGTGACTTCACATTGGCCTCCATGTTCTCCAGTTGCCTCTTCTGGGCAGCCAACTCTTCTGCATGCTTTGCACGGTATTCTTTCAGTGATACTTTAGCTGACGGCGTACTCTTACTATTCTGCTTCTGGGAAATAAATGCATTCGAACTATCCTGTTGCAAGGAATGATCAACTCCTATAAGTGCTACATTCTCACTAGTCCGATGACCCTGGGCAGACTCTAGTTTAAAAGGAGGTTGGGAGGACAGCCAACGCTTGCCCTGCAACATCTCCGCACTGCTTATGTTGCTGGATGACTCTTCAGTGGCTGGAACGGAAGGCACTGCACTTGTGGTAGAAGTTGTTGACATGCTCATTAAACCTGCAATAGTTTTGTCTGAAGAGCTTTGGGAAATCATATTGAGGATTGTCTGCTCCGATGTGTTTGCATCTGCTCCTCGGTCATCTGCTTTTGTTTTCTTGGCAGCTTCGCACGCCTAGAATGAAACAAATGATATCTCTTTACTTCAGGCAACTTATTATATGGAAAAAACACTGAAATGAGTAGACTGTGCTTGCTGTGACATTGCAAGTTTTTCACAGTACATAAGCAGGAGGCTACTCTAACATAACACTGATAATTATTACCATCAGGAGGTATAAGATTTTAAAAACCTTCAATCAAGAGTTGGGCAAACAGGACCTCAAAGAGCTACGTGCATCCCCTTGTTCATTGCAGCAGTATTCACAATAACCAAGATATAAAGGCAACCCAAGTGTCCATCTATGGATGAATGGATAAAGAAAATGTGGTGTGTGTGTGTATCTGTGCATACACACAGTAAACTACTATTTAGCATTAAAAAAGAGGAGAAAGATTCTAGGAAGATGGCAGAGTAGGAAGCTCTAGGAATCTGTCTCCCCACCTAAACAACTGCACTGGCAGAATCTGTCTGATGCTAACTATTATTTTATTTTGAAACTCTAGAGTCTGTTGAAGGCTTGCAACTTCCAGGGTAAGCCTTGAAAAGAAAAATGGGATTAATTTTATTTCTCAGTCAGTACAGTAGAAACTATCCATCACCCACTGCCAGCCATACAACAAGCAGCTGTGCACCTATTTCTGGAATAGCTTGCACACAACCTTGAGAAGGCAGGGTAAGCAAAAATTACTCTTTCCTCCAAATATTGGAAATTTGTGCTATGATCAATGATTGCTTCTTCTGATCACAGAGCACACACCAATCACACACCAAAGGCAGGCAGCCATTGTTGTTGCCACCTCCCTTCGTTGTTGCTAGCCCCTCCCCCTCTGGCTGAAGCAATTGCCAGGGCATTTAAAAAGACCAACAACCTTCCTCCCCAACACTTTTTTGGTTTTTTCCCTTTGGGGAGCCACACATTAAGGAGAAGCACATTCAAAAGCAACGCCATATACAGGAAAAATTATGAAATGACTGTACAAGTCCTAGGAAAGGCTCAGAAAAGACCTTAAATTATACTCCACACTGAAAAAACACCCTACAAAATCAAGCCCTCCACCCCAGTGAATGAACAAAACAGTAAGGAAAACAGCAAACCACAGGGGAGAACAATCTGACTTCCAGAGTTACCACATCATTAAATTCAAATGTCCAGTGTTCAAGAACAAGAAGAAAAATCACAAAAATTATTAAAAAATAGGAAAGTGGACTTCCGCCAAGATGGAGAAGTAGGTGGAGGGTCCACCTCGCCTCTGTGCACAACCAAATCTAAGAACAACTATTTTTAACAGCAGTCACAACCAAGCCACACGGAAAATCGACAATACGGAGTCCAAAAGACAACTAGATACTCGGCTGGACCGGTACGAGGAGCGAGGCCAGAAGCAGAGCAGGTTAGAAAGAAAAAATCCCCGGCGGGGGCGCGGGCGCGCGCAGGCAACCGAGGGCTGATCGCCAGCGAGCTGGCTGCCGGAGCGCACAGGGAATAGGCGCGGTGGGTCGCTCAGTCGCGCGCATTTATGTGCGGAGAAACCAGTGAGAAGGGAAACCCGCGCGGTGCAGCAGGCTCGCAAAATTAGGATCGGATAAGCAAACCCGAGGCGTTTGAGTGACTGGATGTGCTGGGCTAGCGGAGAGGAACGCCATCACTCCCTCTCTGACCCCGCCCCCACACACAGCGTCACAAACCAGCGACCTGGGTCTCCCCGTCCTGGTAAACAACTAAGGCTTCGCTCTGCTCACTAAACAGCACGAATAAACCAAAAATGGCTCTAGAACAACTCAGAGCCCCAGAACCGATAGACCTAAGTGATGAAGAAATAGCCAGTCTTTCAGATGCACAGTTCAAAACACTGGTTATAAAGATCCTTACAGAACTGGTGGATTTTAGTCACAAATTAGAGAAACATATGGAAGCTAAATTAATTGAAATGAATGCTGATACAAAAGATACCAATAGTGATGGAAAGAAAATTGGGACTCAAATCAAGGGAGAGGACCAGATAGAAGAAAAAGATGATCAAGCAGAAAGGAATGAAGAAATAAGAATTCAGAAAAATGAGGAGAGGCTTGGGAACCTCCAAGACATCTTTAAACGTTCCAACATCCGAATTATAGGGGTACCAGAAGGGGGAAAGGCACAACCACCAGTTGAAAAATTATTTGAACAAATAATAAAGGAGAATTTCCCCAAGATGGCAAAGGAAATAGACTTCCGAGAGATCCAGGAAGCTCGGAGAGTCCCGAGGAAGTTGGACCTGGGAAGGAACACACCAAGGCACATCATAATTACATTAGCCAAGATTAAAATGAAGGAAAGAATCCTAGAAGCAGCAAGAGCTAAGGGGACAGTCACCTACAAAGGAGTTCCCATCAGACTGTCATTCTCAAAAGAGACCTTACAGGCAAGAAGGGGCTGGACAGAGGTATTCCAAGTCATGAAAACCAAAGATCTACAACCAAGATTGCTCTACCCAGCAAAACTTTCATTTAGAATGGAAGGACAGATAAAGTGCTTCTCAGATAAGACCAAATTCAAGGAGTTCATCATCACTAAGCCCTTACTATATGAAATGTTAAAGGGACTTACCTAAGAAAAAGAAGATAAAAAAGATGAACAGTGAAAGGACAGCAAACTCACAGTTATTAAGAACCACACCTAAAACAAAAGCAAACTAAGAGGATAGCTAGATCAGGAGCAGAACCATAGAAATGAAGATCACCGGGAGGGTTAGCAACAGGGGAGTGGGAGGAGGGGGAAGGGGGGAGAAGGTACAGAAAATAAGTAGTATAGACAGTAGATAGAAAATAGATAGGGGGAGGGTAAGAATAGTAGGGGGAAATACAGAATCTAAAGAATTTGAGACACATGTTCATGAACTAAAGGGGGAAATGGTGGGGGAGGGGTATGCAGGGTGGAGGGGAAGGGAGGGGGGAATAGAGCAAATGTAATGGCATAATCAATAAAAAATTAAAAAAATAAAATAAAAAAAAATAGGAAAGTATGGCACATTCAAAGGAAAAATTTAATCAACAGAAACTGTCTCTGAAAAACACCTGCTGGCAAATCCACTAGATAAAGATTTTTAAAAAATTCGCTTGAAGATACTCAAGGATCTATAAAGGAAGATGAGGAGAAAGTCAAGAAAATAGCTTGTAAACAAAATGTAAATATCACATCAATAAAGAGACAGAAAAAAAGAAATGCTGGAGCTGAAAAGTACAATAACTAAAATAAAAAACAAACTAGAGGTATTCAAAGGCAGAAGTAAGAATCAGCAAACATGAAGATAGAGCAATGCAAACTATTGAATCTGAGGGACAGAGAAAAAATTTGAAGCAAGTGAACAGAGCCTAAAGGACCTGTGATAATACCAAGAGGACCAACACGTGCATTGTGGGAGTTTTGGAAGAAGAGAAAGGGGCGCAGAAAATATTTGAAGAAAAAATCATTGAAAACTTCCCAAATTTGATGAAAGATATGATCATAAATATTCAAGAAACTTAATAGACTCCAACTAAAAAATTAGAGACTCACATCAAAATATATTAAAAATGAAACTTCCAAAAGCCAAAGACAATGAATCCTGAAAGCAGCAAGAGAAGCAAATCATCCCATACAGAATCACAAGCTCAGAGCACATGTTTTCTCATCAGATACTTTGGATGCCAGAGAGAGAGAGGGCTAATACAAGTCCAAGTGCTAAAAAGAAGAAAACTGCAAAACAAGAATCTAGCAAAAATATCCTTCAAAAAAGTGAGGGAGAAATTAAGACATTTCCAGATAGATAAAGCTGAGGGAGTTTGTGACGACTAAACTGGCCATATATGAAATGCTCATGGGAGTCCTCCAAGGTGAAATAAAGGAGACTAGACAGTAACTTGAAGCCACACAGGGGAATCAAAATAAAGGATCTAAATGAAGATGGGCAAATATACAAGCTAGTATTATTTTAATAATGGTTTATAACTGCACTTTTTGCCTTCTATATGATTTAAGAGATTAACAAATTTTGCCCTGGCTATTGTAGCTCAGTAGACTGAGTGTGGGCCTGCGAACCAAAGGGTGGCTGGTTCGATTTCCAGTCAGGGCACATGCCTGGGTTGCAGGCCAGGTCCCCAGTACAGGGCATGTGGAAGGCAACCACGCATTGATGTTTTTCTCCCTCTCTTTCTCCTTCCCTTCCCCTCTCTCTAGAAATAAATAAAATAAAATAAATTTTTAAAAAGAGATAAATTTTAAGTAAAAAATACAATTATCAGTATAAAACCTAGTATTACTATAAATTTGGTTTATTATAACTTCAAATCTTATTTTCTATATACTATAAAAGTCTAACATTTTAAAGAATTATCAGTTTATGTTTTGGGGTACACAATGTATAAAGATAAACCATATTCTGCCATGTATAATGCACATTTTTTGCCCAATTTTTTTGAGGGAAATATAAGAGTGTGCATTATACATAGTAATTTTGTCACATCAAGAACTGAAAGAGAGCCCTGGCTGGTGTAGCTCAGTGGATTGAGCGCCGGCCTCCGAACCAAACAACCGCGGTTCTATTCCCAGTCAGGGCACACGCCTGGGTTGCAGGACAGTTCCCAGCAGGGGATGCAGGAGAGGCAACCATACATTGACGTTTCTCTCCCTCTCTCCTTCCCTTCCCCTCTAAAGATAAATAAATAAAATCTTAAAAAAAAAAAAAAAAAAAGAACTGAAAGGGGTAGGAAGGTGGGTGAGGTATAAAGGAGTTTGTATGTTATTGAAGTTAAACTGGTATGAATTCAGATTAGAGAGTTGTAACTTTAGGATGTTAAATGTACTGCCCATAATAACCACAAAAAAGAGCTGCAGAATACACAAAAAAGGAAATAAAACAATTTTAAATTTCACAAAAAAAAAATCAGCTAAACACAGGACAGTACTGTAGACAATGAAGGACAAAAATCTAGAAGGCATACAAAAACCAAATAGCATAATGATGACAGAAGTCCCTCTTTATCTGTAATTACTT